GTCCTAGGCTCTGTGGTTTAACCCACAGCGCCACCCGCATCCCTGTAGAAACGACATTACTTACGTTTAAAAAGTAACATTACATATGCCCTTCATGAAGTCTGTAAATCAGGACAAAGTAGCATGGAAAGTTTCTAGGAGTTTCCTTCCATCCCTTACCTGGTAGCTAACTTTATGCGTTCAACATTGAAAATGTCAGAAATATTCTCTAACTTGTGAAAAAAATATAGGCATATCAAATGGGAGCTGTTTTGAAAGTAGAATGCAAAGACAATCTGTATTATGCAGACCCACTTCAGAAGCACAAAATATTTACAAAGTATGCAAATAGGGCTTCGGCATAGTCAGACAATGTGCTTCAGCATTTTTTCTAAGGCGACATAAATTATTGTGAAGTCTCTTTCACACACGTAGAACACGCAGGCAAAGAGTCTTTGAAAGTGGCTTCCAAAACTTCAAGGAGATAAAGGACACCACAAATAAAGTAATCAGGGCTTGGGAAGGAAGGACCACATTCTGACACTCAAAGAAAAGGACAGTATCATCTGCACACGATGGAGCATCTCATTCTTCAGTGTTGGGGCAATCTATATTTGTCCAGTACACATAAAATGAGTTGAGTTTGCACATGAGATCAATTTGTCAGCTGCTCAACAATTTGGAAAGCGGGGAGCAGCAATCTCTCGTTGACAAAAGTGTTACTGTGACACATGTATTTTGCTGCAACTGTATGGTTTGAGCTGCACCCAAATGTTTATACAGTCATACCTTGGGTTACAGATGCTTCAGGTTGCATTTTTTCGGGTTATGGACCCACCGAAACCCAGAAGTATCAGAACGGGTTATTTCCGTGTTTCGGAGGTCGTGCATGCGCAGAAGCACTAAAACGTGCTTTGTGCATGCACAGAAGTGCCAGATCGCAACCCGTGTGTGTGCAGACACACTGCTGTGGGTTGCGAACGCTGCGGGTTGTGAACCTGCATCCCACAAGGATCACGTTCGCAACCCAAGCGTCCACTGTAATGTCATGAACCAAGTGTGACATGTGGACTAGGGAGACCTGAATTTGACGCACCACACATCTAGCTCACTGCATGGCCAAGGACACAACAGGCTCTTGGTCTCACCTACTTCATAGGTTGAATGTTGTGAGGACAAGATAGCATAAATCCATACAGTACATCACCCCAGGCTCTTCATGGGAAAGTCAGAATGTATATCTAAGATATTAAATGCATAGAAAGAGCCCTGATGGGTCAGCTTAAAGACCTATCAAGTCCTGCATCCTACAGTGGCCGCCCGTATGCTGATGAAAAGCCCACAAGCTGGACTTGAGGGCAACAGTCCTTTCCTACTCTTCTTTCTCAGGAACTGGTATTCAGAGGCATGGCCCCAGTGATTATCTTGGCATTATAAAGTCTTATAGTGCCTGCTCCATAAGGAAACAAGAGCACACCCTAATCAAAAAGCCCAAAATCTCAATTGCAGCCACTAGTGCTTATTACCCCAGCAGGAAATGGCATCTGAGACTGGACTAATGCTACTCAGAAAAGCAAAGGAGTTGCAAACCCTCGAAGATTTTGCAAGTGTAAGTAGACAAAGATGCACTTGTGTGCTTATAACCCATTTAGTCTCACAACAAGGACTGCTGCCTTTACACTTTGCTCTCCCATTTGGCATCACATAATGCTCTTCCACCCTGCTTTATGCTACATTCATTTAGAGAAGAAGAAGAAGAGTTTGGATTTGATATCCCGCCTTTCACTCCCTTTAAGGAGTCTCAAAGCGGCTAACATTCTCCTTTCCCATCCTCCCCAACAACAAACACTCTGTGAGGTGAGTGGGGCTGAGAGACTTCAAAGAAGTGTGACTGGCCCAAGGTCACCCAGCAGCTGCATGTGGAGGAGCGGAGACGCGAACCCAGTTTCCCAGATTACGAGACTACCACTCTTAACCACTACACCACACTGGCTCTCTTCAACAGCTTGTCCTTGAGCGAAGCAGGGTCTGTTAGTAAACTGGCACTTTTGTAGAGAAAAAAGGTATAATAAAGTGTTTAACATTCACATGGATATGGTTATATTTGTTACAGAATAGCTGCAATGCACACAGATGTAGTAACTTACTTCCTGGACAAATGGTTATGGGCTGGAGGAAACAGTGCACTTGAATATGCAGTGTACATGTAGGGATGCGGGTGGCACTGTGGTCTAAACCACTGAGCCTTTTGGGCCTGCTGATTGGAAGGTCGGCAGTTTGAATCCACTCAATGGGTGAGCTCCCATTGCTCTGTCCCAGCTTCTGCCAACCTAGCAGTTCAAAAGCATACCAGTGCAAGTAGATAAATAGATACTGCTGTGGTGGGAAGGTAAATGGCATTTCTGTGTGCTCTCGCTTCCGCCAATGGGTCCTATTGCACTAGAAGTGGTTTAGTCATGCTGGCCACATGACCAGGAAGCTGGCCACATGGCCAGTGTTTGTCTGTGGACAAACACTGGCTCCCTCAGCCTGAAGCGAGATAGCACCACACCCCATAGTCGCCTTTGACTAGACTTAACCACCCAGGCATTCTTTATCTTTTTCAAAAATACATGAATGCGCATTTACAACATGGGTGTGGAACTTCTGGCCCTCCATATATTGTTGGACTACATCTCCCATTATCCATGACTACTGGGTCATGTTGGCTGGGGTTGGAGGAGAGTTGGAATACAATAACATCTGGACCATAGGTTTCCTACACCTGATTTATACGCTGGTAGAGAATTGGAGGGCATTGGGACTGAAATCTAAAGAATTGAATCCTGTTGGTTTGGAATAAATGGGGTTAAATCCTAAATGAGTCTGGATACAATCTATACAGCCATACAAATCAAACCTGCCTTGAAACACATAGAAAAGTTACTTAAAGACTCTCCTCCCTGGAAGAGAGGGGAGTGGTTGTGGGCGGGAACCCAAGCACCGCCCCTAGCAGGGGGCATAGCCCCCTGCCTCCACCTCACCTGGCTGGCGCCCACGCCCCTCTGCAGGCATCCAACCTGGTGCCTCGGAGGGGGCGTGTTCAGCAGCCTTTTGCTGCGGTGCCAGCCTCTCCCCGGCCTCATTCTTCGCCGTCGTCTCGCCGCGAGTCACCCACCCTCCACTCCCTTAGAGTTAGGGCTTGGGTCATTGGCCTTGCTATGGACCTTAGGTTGGTCGCCCTGGTTGTCCAGGGGGCCTGGTAGGAGTTTTTCCATTTGGCATTAGGCTTTTTGGTTTTTTCGCCTACCTCGTAGCAATCGTCACAACTTTTTGTGGTATTGGTGGGTAGGTTAGGCATTGGAATAATGTGTTGTGGTGTGTCGAAGGGCTAGGTGTGGCCATCGCCTATGCCTTCAATTTTTGGGTATTCCGTTAAAGGAATCTGGCGGTCGTGTGTTCTGTCCGATGCCTGCTTGGCGGGAGGCCATGGCACGACCCTCGGTGACATCAGGGGGGAGCCTATAGTTGGATTAGCATCAACAGGCCCCACCTACTGGTGAATAAACCCACTTGTTTTAGACATCCAATGCCTAAGCCAATACCTTTTCACTGCTGTAACCAATAAAGTTGTGGCCTTTCCATGCCCATTAACCTTATATCACGTGTCCTTGTGTATTCATTTCACATCGCGGGGGTCGGGTCCTCGAACCACAACATGGTTAATCCCAGAAAATCTGAACTGTTTCTAAATCCCTGCCTGGTAAACAGGGACAATTGGAACAGAGAAGATTTTTTTTTGTTGGGTATGAGTAATATAGCTACTGGGAACATAGGAACTTACTAAATGCATTAAGATATGTAAGTAAACATGTGGAAAAAACAATTTATTCTATGCATAGTTTGAGAGGTTTTGTTACGATACTAAATTGTTCATAGTTGGCAATTTCTGAACAAACAAATAATAAAAATTCTCCAAAGTTTATTTGAAAACTGCAACAAGCTTTCACTGGATGAATCCACACAGCAACAGAAAGGTGGCAGAAGGCATGCATTTCTGGGAACACGATGACTGGGGGGAAGCAAATAGCCACATTTCAAGGTTATGGCTCCTCATTTCTGGAAAACCTTGAACATGGGTGTCAAGCCAGGATTGATAGTTATAGGGTGAATATGTATTCAGGAAATAGATAGGAACAGCCTTGCCCTGGCTTTCAAACTACAGATAGAAAAATAATTACCTCATCCTCCTCAGTTGGATTTTCAAAATGGTAGCATGAATCTCCTTTCCTTGTCCTCTTGTCCCCTCAAAATGGTGATGAGATGCTCTTGTCCAGCTTCATACCACCACACTTCCTTATAATAAAACACACACACAAACTTCCTCACATACACATATTAGCCATAGTCACAAATATCCAATGCAGGTCAGCCCACTGAACTGAACACCATATGCTCAAGAGCAACTGTATGGGTGGGATGGGGAGGCAGTGAGCATTAAACACAAAATATAAATTCTCAAAATGTACAAGAATAAGCCTCAAATTGGTTATGCTTCAGACTTCAGGTTTTCTGTTGAACCTACAGTCCTTTATTCTGCTGTCCAGAAACTGAGAGCCATAAAATATCTTAAGCATGAAAGCAGCCAGATGTTTCCGCCATGACTTCCTTGATAAATTACTAGGAGAAAAATCTTCCCCATTTGGAAATAATATCTTAATTTGACTGCAGTCACGACTATTTGCAACACTCATAGTAATGCTTTATCAACGAGCAAGCAGGAGTCCCCTTCACTGACTAAACACACCTCTAAATCAAATGCAATCCACAGCAAGGGCATTTCAGAGTAATAATAGCCCCATGTTGTACTCACGTCACCATGTCAGATCCAATTTTATACAGAGAGCACAAAGCACTGGAAGACTGAAAATATCTGCGCCTCTGTGTGTTGTGCTGTCTTTGTTACAGGCGCAGATTGAGCAATAATGAGCAACGGCTCTTCACAAACGAAACAGGCAAAAGTGAGAGGGGCCTCAGAGGAGATGGCATCCTCAAAACCGACAGGTTAAGAAGGAAGATGCCGAACTCAGAACTCACTCTCTTTTTTTGGGGGGGGGGGGAGTGTGTGTCATACTCTAAATTGTGTTCATGAAAGTTCAGACACCCACATATCCAGCTGAAGAAAATGCAGACCCAAAGCAATTAAAATAAGAATACTGCTGGAAACTTTGCAAGTCCGAGGACTAGATGTGCATAGGATTTTCCTGTAACTGCTTGCGGCATTTTGTTTTGGAAGCAGAAGGGTGACTGGAACTGCCATTGTAGAGGTTATTAACATTACTGTGTTTATCAAGTGTTTATCTCTCATGACAGCACACCATACATTTTAAAGCATTTTCTTGCACTTTCAGTTACCACCCGCCCCATCCCTTGAATCATGGGTCAATTCCCAACACCCGTAACAAACTACAGTTCCCAGCATTCTTTAGGGGAAGCCATGACTGTTGAAGTTGTATAATAGTGCTTTAAGTGTATGGTGTGAGCCAGGGGCGCCAACTACCCCCCCCCATTGAAGGGGTCTGGTGTCATGTGACACGTCTGGCCCCTGCCCAGGGCATAAGCACTCTCGAATCAGCAATGGGGAGAGGGGGCCCAGAGTGTGATCTTCGCCCTCCTTGTGTCCCACCCAGCTTTGGCCCCCTCCATATTTTGGGGCAGGGGGCTGAGCCCCCCCCCCCCAATATTGAGAGGGTCACCATCTCCTGCCACCACTGGGCAAGTGCTTGCCCAGTGGTGTCAGGGGAAGGGGGCACACAGAGTGATCTTCACCCTCCCTGTATTGCCCCTGCCCGGCACATGACCGTCTCAATATTGGGGTGCTCAGCCCCCTGCCCACAAATACTGAGGAGGCCCAAGCCCCTCTTGCCCCCTATAATTGCTGCCCCTGGTTTGAGCAGAGACCTTTCACTTCATTTTGAGGTGAAACCAGAGATACAAGGAAGTAATAAGAGCAACCCATCTCATGGTCTTGGAACGAAAGCTGTCCATGTAAACCAATGGTGACATCCAGGATTTTAGCATAGCTGTGATCTGGAAGCAATGTATCTTCCAACAGCCACACCCACACCCCAATCCACAAAAAGCAACCCCAAAGACTTCATTGCCTTTCTAACTTGCCTTAATTTTGTGGATTTTTATTTTTAAAAGCTATTTAAACATAGTTAAAATGGCCCCATCAATATCAACACTGCTGTCATCTTCCTTTGCCCTCCATTTTGAGGAAGGGAGACTTGTGGCTGTGAGGGAATAGTTGACATTAGAACTTTGCAGTGGATTGCTCTGCTACTATGGCAGGCTAGAAGGGGGGCTGAGGTTGGTTTCTGCAAGAAAATACGTCTTGTTATGGTAAATATGATTCCGAAACCTCCTTCACACCCTTTCTCAGTTCAAATCCGGGGCTCCTTCATATGCAGAAGGCTTGCATTCCATTTACTTGCATGTAGATGCTGTGCACATTTATATCTTTTCAAAGCAACCCCTCCCTGCAAAAACCCACACTCTTTTATCCATTTGAAATAAGACCCAATTTAAGAAACAGTATGAATTCATGTCTTTACTGCTAACTTTGGTTTTGAAGGAGAGGTGTGCTACACAGCCCTATCAGAACTCAGCTAAAATCTTGGATTTCTTCATTAATTTCTATAGGCACTTCTGCCTCAGGGAAGGGGGAAAAAACCCTCAACAGCTCAGTGGGTGAAGTTGAGCCTTGTGGGTGAGTCTCTATTAAGTCTATGGGTGGGACTGTGGAACTTTATTTCCCTGCTCAGTCAAGCCTTCCTACACAGTGCCACTTAGTAATTACAATCAATATTACTGCTCTTGAGAAATGACATACGCTCCAACATTTCTCTGAGGAAAATAGGGACGTCCAGTGCTATTTTTCTAGAAAAAAGAAGTGCCGCAACTCACCACGAACACCTCCGTCATTCTCTTAGAATGGCAATGGCGCCCACCTAAGAGGTGAGTACTGGCTGAAAAAAAGCCATGGGGATGTCTTTTTCCATACCCTCCAACATTTCTACAATGAAAGTAGATGACCTAAGGAAAAGCGGGACCTTCCAGGATTAAATCAGAAACCGGGACGGCTTCTGTAAAGCGTGTTCTCCTTCATGGAGAGCACGTGATGCGGTGGGGTCTGCTGAGCCACCCCTCTGTTACCAGGCAGGGTCTCTAAATATGGCCTGGGGCAGTGATTGGTTCACTGGGTTGCTGGGGTAAAAGTTATGTTGCAATTTTGGTGGGAGGGGTAAAATGTTTAAATACTCTGCACGCAGCCTGGAGCTTTCTCTTTGCTGCGTGCAGCGGATCACCCGCCCACCCGCCCTTGAGTAAGGGGTTGTTCGCTTTGACCTTGCTATGCCTGTCATGGGGTCGTCTGCCGTTGGGGCAGGGGCCTGGTAGGAATTTTGTCCATCTGGCTGATTGGCTGGGCCATTTGGTTTTTGCCTACTGCGTAGCAAATCGTCACAACTTGTAAGGTTGCGGTTAGGCATTGGTTATAAATTGGTGGAGGAGGGGTTAGGATAGGCTGGGCCTGCCCCTCCATGGTTGCTGCAGAAAGGGAATTCCGTTAAAGGAATCCTGGGGCTTGCCATCTTTTCGTCCAATCCCTGGAATGGGACTAGGGCCGGCAAGCCTTCAGGGAGCATGCGGATGAGAATTGAGGGTCTGTGACTCAGCTCCATTTCTCCCCGACTTGCTTTCCCCCGCACTGTCTTTCGGTGGTGCCCGGAAGTCAGTTCTGTCCCCAGGCGGGGGGACAGACAGTCTTAACCAATGCCTAAACAACCACTCACAGTTTTGTATTTAAATAAAGTTGTGGCCAAAATTATGCCCAAAACCTTAAACAAAAATTAAGTGTGCGTTGTGAGTTATTTGGGGGGTGGCTTGGGGACCTCGACACGCAAATCCAGGCCTACCCCTGGAAATTAGGGACAATTGGAGGATCTGATATTACTGTGATTTAATTATTCTGTCGATACTATTAGTCACCTTGCATTTCCTTTGCAAAGGAAATAACTTGATTGAATAATATTAGAACGAAGTTCATTGGCGTGATTGCCAAGCTAAGGCCCAGCTCAAAGATAGGCTGACACTTTCGTTGGCTTCTGTCACTTTTCTCCCCCTTTCCCTTCTCCTCTCCTAGACCTCTCATTATTCTATATTCTCTTTTTCTCTCACACCTGATTTCTTAATATTTCCTCAGTGGCCTGCTGTGCTGAGTGTGTGTGATCTCTTGTCATACCAGTTTTTCTATTCAGTGATGTTTTAATGATTTGTTTAAATCCCTCTCCTAGTACTTCAGGGCGAGATCAGTGTTTCCTTTCCAACTGACTTTACTGACTAAATTGCAGCCTCTTGATTGTTTCCTTGGTAATTTTTTGAATCTGCAGCATTGACTAGCATCCTTTTGGCTGCTTCTAGGCAGGACAAGGTAGGGCCTACAGGCCTCTGGTGTCACAAAGGTGTCCTTAGAAGACCTGAACAACATGATTCTGGTTTATTTCGGTTAGCCCAGACTGATGTCCAGCAGGAACCAAGAACTAAATTCTAGCTAATTATCTCACTTCTGATGAGTAAAATAATACCTTTTAAATTGTGTTTTTATGTATCCTACTTCTGCTCCGAGGTGCTCAAAGCAGCTGGCATGGGGTTTCACCCTATTTCATCCCCACAGGTAGGTTATTGGACTAAAGCACTCAGTGGATTTTGCTACGGAGCAGGAATTTGTACCTGGGTCTTCCCAGTCTAGTGCTATGCCCAATATACATAACCTCATTTCATATTGTGGATTTTCACCACCCCATTGTTGCTCTTTTGCTCCTTATTTCAGGTACTTCTGTTATCCAAGTGACAGCTACAGATGCTGATGATGCTAACTATGGCAACAGTGCCAAAGTTGTTTACAGCATCCTCCAGGGCCAGCCATACTTCGCAGTGGATCCAGAAACAGGTGAGAATGTCTATTGACTTGGCTTCCTTTTATTTACGCCAGCTCTGCTTTATTCTAATTATCTGGAGTTGTTGTCAGTCCTTTTAGTATTTCTTTCTTATATTGTCACCCATTTTTCTTTTGGTTTTTTTCAAAGGCTTTTCATTGATATATTCATATACTGTACTATTCATGCTCATCTGTTATTTGGTTGGAGCAGTTACTTCTGACTCCACCTTTTTGGGGGGGAAGAGGGGTCCTTGGACAAGGTATGCTCTGCGGCCCCTAGTAACCTAGAAGAGGCAGGTTGAACAAAAAGAGTACCAGCCCAAATTTAAGTGCACCAGAGTGCACCAGAGTGGAAACCTCAGCAGCGAGGGCCTATCCCTGGCCTCACCTCTCCCTCCAAGCCACCGTGGATTGACACAATTCAAACCAGGGCTTGGTGGGAACTCTGCAAGCATCGTGGAGGTCAGGGGAAAGGGCCAACAGCCCAAACAAACATGATGTGGCTCCGAGGGAAGGCAGGAGCCATCATGCCAGGTTGCAGGTGCTGCCCACTATTGGACCAGGTAAACGGGCATTCTTTGGTTGAAGAAGTTACTGCTGACTCCACCTTTGCAGTGGCACAGGGGTCCTTGGACAAGACATGGAAGAGACAGGTTGAACAAACAGCAAATTTCCTCATAATGTCTCTTCTTATGTGTGTCGCACAAAATAGCAACAACAATGCTTTTTGGTTGGAGGGACATTTGCTGATTTCAAGCCCCCATCAAATGCCCAGTTTGCATCCTCTTCTGGCTCTGTGACAAAGCCATACTGCAGCCACACTGTGAACTATAGAAGGACAGCTGATTCATAAACCTGGTTGTCTGGCTTCATTTGCATATCATTTACATGAGCGTGGCAAATGCCAAGCCGCAGCTGCTGGATGCTGCATCGGCTGTGTGATATTTTGGAATAGCTGATGCAAAATGAGAGCAAGAGGCAGGGAATGGAACCTTCTGAGCCAGCTCAATAAAAGTCATGACCCACTTTCAGAAACCATACTATTTGGGGGAAAAAAGAGGAAGGAGGGAAAATGCCCTGTGATTTCTAAATTGCACAGAGCCCAATCAGAGCACAAATGATGAAATTGATAATGGGTGGAAAGAGTGCATTGAAATGAAGGAAGCTGCATGCTGTTTTCCTACCATCCCAAACCTCACCTTCTCATTCCATCCTGGCTGTTCCAAAAACCATCAAGGTTAGGCAGCCATCTTTTGGGGGCGGGGAATATTTCCCCTGGTTAGGTATTCCCATACATACTGAAAAATGACAAAGTACAGCAAAATGGCTGTAAGAGTGGAAGAGTGAACTGTATTGCTTCAGACTGTAGTTGGTGGGTACTGGTTTGGATTGCTGCCCCTCCCCTGGTGTAACAATATGGCATGGCTGTGACCCTAATTTGTGTGTAGGAAAGTGGCACAGCAAACAAACAAACAAAAGCTTAGCACATCCTTTTCCTTGATGTGTGCATTTCCTATTTACATGCATTTATATATATATTTTTTAAAAATGTGGTCCCTCCTTAGCTATAGTCTGAACTGTTGTTGTTGTTAGTGCTTAAAAAAAAAAGTTTAGGGGGAACTCTCATTTTCCTGCTCATATTGAAATACTGCCCCTAAGTGAGGCCAAACTTAGATTCACAAAATGTTTAGGGGTATGTGTACCCCTGCGTCCCCTCAGAAAAAAGCACTGATTATTATTATTCCTCCACCATATTCAGCTGCACGTATAGTTTCAGTCCCTGCCATGATTTTGGAGAGGGCTGCAAACTCCTGTTCATTGCAGCCTTTCATCTTAAATGGAAAAATAACCACCAGTCAAAGTTGTTGTTGTTTTCAGAAAGCTTTCATTATGACAGAGGTTGCAGGGCAGCAGTTGAAGAAGGAGCAAAAAGGGTTTTCTTGTGTGTGTGTGTGTGTGTGTGTTTCTTTGTGGCTGATTGGCTGCTCTCCCTGTGCAAAGGTCAGAGGGGGCAGGGTTTCTGTTGAGGCAAGTGATTAGCTGTGGGAGGAGCTTATCAGAGGTTGCAGGGCAGCCGTTGAAGAAGGAGCAAAAAGGGTTTTCTTGTGTGTGTGTGTGTGTGTTTCTTTGTGGCTGATTGGCTGCTTTGATCCATCTTTTAGATTTAGGGGAGCTAGTCTCAAACGTTTGTTGGGGGAGACCTAGGGTTTTTTTTTGTGGGGGGAGTTATTTTTCCTGTCTTCACGCTTTTTATGATGGAGGACCGCTGTAGCCACCCCCAACGACACGTTCTCAAGATGGAGGGGGAGGGAACAGCTGCAGTCGCCTGCGGTTCCTGCGCAATGTTTGCCATCTTGCCAAAGGTTGCAGGCAGCTTTACCTGCAGCAATTGCATGTTGATTGCCCTCTTAAAAGACAAAGTCCAGCAACTGGAGGAACGTGTAGCTACGCTCCAAAGAATTAGGGAGCTGGAGCTCTTCTTGGAAGCAACAGAGCACACCGTCTCCACCAAGGAGGAGACAGGGGACTCCCTGAGAAGGACGCTAGTACACCAACACAGGAGCCAGATATATGGAGAAACGTGACTCAAAGAAGTAGGAGGCCCAGGGTTCGCTCTGATTGTTTAGAAATATACAATCGCTTTGAGGTCCTCTCCCCTAGCATGGAAGACGAAGAGCAGACTCCATTGAGGATCAAAACCACATTACAGTCGATCAGGTATATGAAGACGAGCAGCAAAGTCAGTCCTCAGGGAATGTGCAGGCGACCTTGGAGCGGACAGCTCATGGAAGAACCCCGACCAAACCTAAGAGGAGGCGTGTAGTGGTGATAGGGGATTCCCTACTGAGGGGAACAGAAGCAGTGATCTGTGGGCCTGACAAGATGTCTCGGGAAGTGTGCTGTCTCCCGGGGCTAAGATCCAAGATGTAACTGAACGACTGCAAGGAATCATAAAACCCACTGACAAATACCCCTTCCTCTTGGTTCATGTGGGAACCAATGACACTGCAAGCAATAGCCTCCAGAAGATCAAAAGAGACTACGAGGCTCTGGGCAGGAAATTGAAGCAATTAAATGCACAAATTGTGATCTCATCTGTCCTCCCAGTTGAACGACGTGGCCCAGGGAGAGAGGGGAAAATAGTGGAAGTGAACAGCTGGCTTCGCAAATGGTGTAAACAGGAACGGTTTGGATTCTTAGATCACGGACTGCAGTTTCTTGAAGATGGACTTCTGGCAAGCGATGGGCTGCACCTCACAACGGTTGGGAGAAATGTTTTTGCCAAAAATCTCAGAAACCTCATCAGGAGGGCTTTAAACTGACTAATGTGGGGAGGGAGACAGTGCTCCTGAAGGTAGGAGTCTATCAATTGATGAAGATGATCAACCAAATGTCATAGACCAAATGGCGCAACCAGCACACAGACCTAGTGGTGGGAGGAAAAATCCTTAAATAAGAGGCACGGGGAAATGATTAATGGACTTCGGTGTCTGTACACTAATGCGCAAAGCATGGGAAATAAACAAGATGAGCTTGAGCTCTTGGTACAGCAAACTAAATATGACATAATAGGCATCACTGAAACCTGGTGGGATAAGTCCCACGATTGGAATGTAATAATGGGGGGGATACAATCTATTTCAGAGAAACAGACCAGACAAGAAAGGAGGAGGAGTGGCGTTATATGTCAGGGATGTGTATACCTGTGAAGAGATCCAAGATTTAGAACCTCAAAGCCAAAGTGAGAGCATTTGGGTCAAAATTAAGGGAGAGAAGAATAACAGGGACCTCATTGTGGGAGTTTACTATAGATCCCCAAGCCAAACGGAGGACATAGATGATGCCTTCCTGGAACAGATGGCCAAGCATGCAAAAGGAAGGGAGATAGTAGTAATGGGGGACTTCAATTACCCGGATATTTGTTGGATGTCAAACTCAGCCAAGAGCATAAGGTCAAACAGATTCCTCACTGGCCTTGCAGACAACTTCATTGTCCAGAAAGTGGGAGAAGCAACAAGAGGAACAGCCATTTTAGATCTGGTCCTAACCAATGTTGATGACCTGGTTAGTGGGGTAGAAGTGGAAGGATCATTAGGCGCGAGTGATCATGCTCTTCTGAAGTTTACTATACAGCGGAAAGGAGCAGCCAAGCATACTAGGACTCAATTTCTTGACTTTAAGAAAGCTGACTTCATAAAACTTAGGGAAGTGCTGGGTGAGATCCCATGGACAGTAATACTAAAAGGAAAGGGAGTTCATGATGGCTGGGAGTTTGTTAAGAGGGAGATACTAAAAGCACAACGTCAGGCAATACCAATGAGACAGAAACATGGAAGGTGCCTAAAGAAGCCAGGGTGGCTATCTAAAGAACTTTTAACTGAGTTAAGATTAAAAAAGGATGTGTACAAGAAATGGAAAAGGGGGGAAACCACCAAAGAGGAATTCAAACAAATAGCCAGCACGTGTAGACACAAAGTCAGAAAAGCTAAAGCACAGAATGAACTCAGGCTTGCTAGAGAGGTTAAAAGCAACAAACAGGCTTTTATGGGTATGTTCGTAGCAAAAGGAAGAACAAAGAAACAGTGGGGTCACTCAGAGGAGAAGATGGTGAAATGCAAACAGGGGACACAGAAAGAGCTGAACTCCTCAATGCCTTCTTTGCCTCAGTCTTCTCCGATAAAGAAAACAATGCCCGACCTGAAGAATTTGGAGCAAATGATTCAGCAAAGGAAACACAGCCCAGAATAACTAAGGAGATAGTACAAGAATACTTGGCTAGTTTAGATGTATTCAAGTCTCCAGGGCCAGATGAACTGCATCCAAGAGTATTAAAAGAACTGGCAGATGTGATCTCAGAACCACTGGCAGTCATCTTTGAGAATTCCTGGAGAACAGGCGAAGTCCCGGCAGACTGGAGGAGGGCAAATGTTGTCCCTATTTTCAAAAAGGGGAAAAGAGAGGACCCAAATAATTACCGCCCAGTCAGTCTGACATCAATACCAGGGAAGATTCTGGAGCAGATCATTAAGCAAACAGTCTGTGAGCACCTAGAAAGGAATGCTGTGATCACCAATAGTCAGCATGGATTTCTGAAAAATAAGTCATGTCAGACTAACCTGATCTCGTTTTTGACAGAATTACAAGCCTGGTAGATGAAGGGAACGCAGTGGATGTAGCCTACCTTGATTTCAGCAAGGCATTTGACAAGGTGCCTCATGATATTCTTGTAAAGAAGCTGGTAAAATGCGGTCTTGACTATGCTACCACTCAGTGGATTTGTAACTGGCTGACTGACCGAACCCACAGGGTGCTCATCAATGGTTCCTCTTCATCCTGGAGAAGAGTGACTAGTGGGGTGCCACAGGGTTCTGTCTTGGGCCCGGTCTTATTCAACATCTTTATCAACGACTTGGATGATGGACTCAAGGGCATCCTGATCAAATTTGCAGATGACACTAAATTGGGAGGGGTGGCTAACACCCCAGAGGACAGGATCACACTTCAAAACGACCTAGACAGATTAGAGAACTGGGCCAAAACAAACAAGATGAATTTTAACAGGAGAAATGTAAAGTATTGCACTTGGGCAAAAAAAATGAGAGGCACAAATACAAGATGGGGGACACCTGGCTTGGGAGCAGTACATGTGAAAAGGATCTAGGAGTCTTGGTTGACCACAAACTTGACATGAGCCAACAGTGTGACGCGGCAGCTAAAAAAGCCAATGCAATTCTGGGCTGCATCAATAGGAGTATAGCATCTAGATCAAGGGAAGTAATAGTGCCACTGTATTCTGCTCTGGTCAGACCTCACCTGGAGTACTGTGTCCAGTTCTGGGCACCACAGTTCAAGAAGGACACTGACAAACTGGAACGTGTCCAGAGGAGGGCAACCAAAATGGTCAAAGGCCTGGAAACGATGCCTTATGAGGAACGGCTAAGAGAGCTGGGCATGTTTAGCCTGGAGAAGAGGAGGTTAAGGGGTGATATGATAGCCATGTTCAAATATATAAAAGGATGTCACATAGAGGAGGGAGAAAGGTTGTTTTCTGCTGCTCCAGAGAAGCGGACACGGAGCAATGGATCCAAACTACAAGAAAGAAGATTCCACCTAAACATTAGGAAGAACTTCCTGACAGTAAGAGCTGTTCGACAGTGGAATTTGCTGCCAAGGAGTGTGGTGGAGTCTCCTTCTTTGGAGGTCTTTAAGCAGAGGCTTGACAACCATATGTCAGGAGTGCTCTGATGGTGTTTCCTGCTTGGCAGGGGGTTGGACTCGATGGCCCTTGTGGTCTCTTCCAACTCTATGATTCTATGATTCTATGATTCTATGACAGATGTAACCATTTTTGTTTTTTCCCCCCAGAAGGATAATTACATTGATTTAGTGCCAATTTAAAAACACTGAGTAATGGGAGCTTCTTGTTTCCCTCTTTTCTTGCTGTGACATTAAACTAGTCATGGACTGAAAGCCTTATTTCAGTGCATACACCTTCAATTTTGTTTATTTACTGTGGATTAACTGGCACAGCATATCTGACACAAATCCATTTTAATACTCTCCTTCGACCTACTCCCACCTTCAATCTCATATTTCCTCCCCCTCTTCTCTTCCCTATAAGGCATCATCAAGACTGCTTTGCCCGATATGAGCCGAGAAAACCGAGAGCAGTACCAAGTGGTCATCCAGGCAAAAGACATGGGCGGCCAGATGGGCGGATTATCAGGAACTACAACGGTGAACATCACGCTGACCGACGTCAATGACAATCCGCCTCGATTCCCCCAGAGTATGAACCATTTAATACTTCAGATGTGTTCAAAAAGCCTCTTTAAACTCTGTTGTTCAAGCTTCACCATCTGGGGACGTAAATGCAGATGCACTTCTGATGTTGCAGCTATTTAAGGTCACACAGGAACATACATAATACATATATATATATATATAATATTTCCAAAGGAAATAAACAATGTTAACTCCCATAATAGTGTTAGGTCTACAAGCAAAAACAAACAAACCAACAAAAACTAGAGGTGCACAAAGCTTTGCTGCTTGTAGAATTATAATCATCATCATTTTATTATTTATATGCCGCCCATCTGACTGGGTTGCCCCAGCCACTCTGAGCGGCTTCCAACAAAATATTAAAAACACAATAGAACGTCAACCATTAAAAACTTCCCTGAGCAGGGCTGCCCTCAGATGTCTTCTAAAAGTCAAATAGTTGTTTATCTGTTTGACATCTGGTGGGAGGGCGTTCCACAGGGCGGGTGCCACTACGAAGAAGGCCCTCTGCCTGGTTCCCTGTAACCTTGCTTCTCTCAGTGAGGGAACCACCAGAAGGCCCTCGGAGTGTCCGGGCTGAATCATGGGGGTGGAGACGCTCCTTCAGGTATACTGGGCCAAGGCCATTTAGGGCTTTAAAGGTCAGCACCAACACTTTGAACCACTACCAAGAAGACCCTTTGCCTGGCTCCCTGTAGCTTCACTTCTAACAGTGAGGGAACTTCTAGGAAGCCCTTGGAGCTGGACCTCAGCGTCCGGGCTGGACAATGTAGGTGGAGACACTCCTTCAGGTACACAGGACCCTGAAGAGTCAGGTGATAGCTTTAAGCCTGATTCTGCACAGCTCATAAACCGCGAAACAGAATGCAGCAACTCCAATATATTTTGACCTGCCAAATGTCCAATAATGTCCAGGACTTTTAGCCACTGACGGGCCACCTTACATAGGCAAAGGGTTGCATTCTGCTTGCTGGGAATCTAACTTGCGCACAATCTAGGTCACATCCCACAGTCACATAACTAAATAGCCACCACTGTCCTTCTCCATCCTACTTGGTTCACAAACCGCACAGCACTTGATGGTGGTGCTGTGAGAAAGAGGAAGTTCTCAAAACTTTGCACCCAGGAGCTGCAACCGGCATGATGTGCCTGATCACTGCAGCACATGCTGCAACACATGTGCTCATACACACACGTGGATGATGCAGCAATGCAAATCACAACAGCTCTCCTATTCGGGCACTTATTCTCACAAATGGAGCCACAGACAGTGTTGTTAGGCTGATCGGAAGGTCAGTGGTTCAAATCCGCGCGACGGAGTGAGCTCCCATTGCTCTGTCCCAGCTTCTGCCAACTTAGCAGTTCGAAAGCATGCCAGTGCAAGTACCGTATTTTTCGCCCTATAGGACACACTTTTTCCCCTCCAAAAATGAAGGGGAAATGTGTGTGCGTCCTATGGGGCAAATGCAGGCTTTCGCTGAAGCCTGGGGAGCGAGAGGGGTCGGTGCGCACCGACCCCTCTTGCTCTCCAGCCTTCGCGCACCTCTCCAGAAGCAGCGGGAGCCCAGCGCTGGGCTCCCGCTGCTTGCGGAGAGTTGCCTGCATACTGAAGCCTGCGCGTGCTGAGCTCAGCGCGTCCAGGCTTCGTGGACCTCTCCGCAAGCGGCGGGAGCCAGCGCTGGGCTCCCACGGCTTTTAGAGAGATGCCTGTTTGGGGGCTGGGGTCGGCGGAAGCTCGGGCTTCCCCCGCCCCAGCCCCGCGCCTGGGGGGGAAATAATTCCCCCCCCTTTATTTCCCTCCAAAAAAACTAGGTGCGCCTTATGGGACGGTGCGTCCTATAGGGCGAAAAATACGGTAGATAAATAGGTACCGCTGTGGTGGGAAGGTAAACAGAGTTTCTGTGCACTCTGGTTTCCATCACGGTGTTTAGTCCTGTTGGCCACATGACTCGGAAAGCTGTCTGTGGACAAATGCCAGCTCCCTCGGCCTGAAAGCAAGATGAGTGCCGCAACCCCATGGTCGCCTTTGGCTGGACTTAACAGTCCAGGGGTCCTTTACCTTTTACCTTTTGTACCCCACCCCTGTGCTCTTCAAAAGCCACAAAACCCAACTAAATTAAAACTTTGTAACCTATTGGCCGCTCTCTGCTTTCTACTATTTATCGGTTTTGTTCACTTTTTTTATCTTGCTTGTAAAATATATGTATTCACTTCTCCTCATGACTTAGCTCAGAGGTCTGCTTAAAATGCAAGGGTGTGATAGAGTAATTAATCACATTGAAGTTGATGAACCCAAAGTAGGCTAGTATCACATATTTTGCTGTACTGTATGTCACTCAGTGACAGTCTCATAAAGACTACATATTGGAAGGTACCCATAAAGAAGCTTTAATATAAAGGCTGCTGTTGTTGGGGTTTTTTTTTAGCTCTTAGTCTTCCCTGTGGCTTTTTCATGAGCACAGAAGAAATAAGAGCCTATGGAGATTGGTGTGCCTTCTTTTTAAGGTCTTAGATTATTTTAGTTACAGCCTCAAATAACAAGTAAGTGTGCCCTTTATTCACTGGCATATCAAATCACTAAGAGTCAACAAACTTATTGTGGCATAAGCTTTTGTGCACCCGACAAAGAGGGGTTTGACTCACGAAGGCTCATGTCATCATACAGTTGTTCCACTATATGAAAACTCAGTTTTCATATCCTGACAGCTGCTTTGTTTGTGGAAAAACGGCCTTGGAAAGAGCTAATTTAGAGTGGAGATTGCAAATAAGTGTTTTCAATTTTTTCTTGCCCAGCGTTACTATTGCAAGGCACACACCCCTCCCTGCAAATTGCTGTCCCTACCAAGAGGTTCCAGGTTCTCGTGCATATTCAGATACATAAGTTAGGAACCCTGCACAAAGAGAAGTGACTCAAGGGAAGGATTTGTAGCAGAAATACTGTGGGTGGAGAAAGGGAAGCATACCCTTCTGCTGCCACTTATTTGTCTAAATCACCACATAATAAATTTTATTTTCTGAAAGGAGGGTGGCTGTCTGGATTTTGAGTATAACATCCAGCTCGGGCTTTATCTGCACTCCACTTGTGAGGGCAGGGCCAGTGTCAGACATAGACAGCGTTGGGCACTACCAATGGCCTCCATCACAGCAGATGGGCAGGGATCACAGCAAGATAGGAAGGTGCCTTAAACCAAGGTCACACACGCACACACCATATCTTTAAAGCACTGTTCAATCACAATCTAACAGTCATGGCTTTTTGCAAAGAATCCTGGGAAGCGTAGTTTGTTAAGGGTGCCAAGAGTTGTCAGGAGACCACTTGCAGGGCTCCTGCACCCTTAACAAACTACATTTCCCAGGATTTTTTGGGAGTATGTGTGTCAGTTAAAGTGACAGAAGGTTGCTTTAAAGTGATGGTGTGCTCTTGGTATAAGTCAGCTTCCTATGTTGCAGTGTATGGTGTGGCCATGACCCAAGGCAATTTTTTTGGTCCCTCCAAATGAGTATTGTCAACACTGATTGGCAATGGCTCTCCACGGTTTCAGACAGGGCACATTCCCAGTGAAAACTGGAGCTGCCAGAGATTGGACCTGAAATCTTCTGCATGCAAAGCACATGCAATACCAGTGAGCCCTTGAGCCCCTTCACTTTCTCCTCCTTCCTATCGTTGCTTGTTCACCTGTCCTCTTTGAGCATGCCAGCAATGGCAAGACATAAGAGAAAGAGCATCATCTTCCACTTGACTTGAACTCTGTCAGTTATACGGATTGGGCAAAGTGCATGTATTGCACTGGCGGCAGGTGGGCCCATTCAGAGGAGACACCTAGCCAACCCCCCTTCCCCCCGAATGACTACACACTTGCACATATCTAACAGATCCAAGGGATCATTTATCATGCACATCTTCAAAGACCTCAGCTCTAATCTTGACTGACCATCGAACAATCAATCTTAAGGGTTATATGTGGACTGCCCATCTTCCTCAGAGACCTATATCCAGGTGTGTTAATTATTTTTGTTGCTGAGTAGGCTAGCTGTGCTTCTTCCCATTCTACTCCACCAGAGAAAAGAGAGGAGTAGGGATTATTTTAGAGTCAAGAAATTGGCTATTAAGAGTCAGGTAAGAGTTACTGAACTGGAATAACAATCAGAGTGTTAGTGGCAGATAATAGGCTCTCAGGAAGGACAGCTTTCTTACACATTCTGGAAAATGTGTTTGTACCCATCCCAGAAACTCATCCCCCTATCATCATTACCTATATCTGGGAGAAGAGTCAATTCCACCATTACTCTTCTTCCCCCACATTATAAAGCAGGTGAAAATTGTGGGAGTCAAAGGAATTTGTAACATCCAGCTATTCTGATACTGGTCCAATATTAGGGATTTGCGAACCAGCTTTTTGGAGCTAAAGTTACAGTTCCAATGCCTTCTTCCATTCTTATTCTTATTTACCCACTTTGTTACCCACAAAGATAAGATGGATGTACATAAGAGCAAAGGAAGCTGACTTATACTGAATTAGATCATTGGTCCAGATAGTCTATAATGACTGGCAGAGATTCTTTCAGGATTCCAGACAGTGTCTTCTCCCTGGAGATGCTGAGAACTTAATCTGGGACCCCATGCATGCAAAACAGATGCTCTACCACATTACAGGTCCTAAATGAAAATGCACTCTGCATTCACATAGATTTCCTTCTTCAAATTTCCCTCTGTTTGCCTAAGAATTTAATTTTCTGAAACAAAGTTTCCTTGCGGGTTTATTTTAGTGATTTTGGAACAAATGTCTATGTGCTAAAAAATGCAAAATCAGCACAGAGGATTGCCAGAGCATCTCTCATCATCTCAGATCAATAACAAACCACATCTGCTTCTAGCAATAATTTCTCCCATTCTGTCTGAGCAAAGCAGCACCCAGGTATAATATATGTGTGTGAGAGAGAGGGACAGGCAGACAGACAAAGATGGAGATGCACTGTGATCAGAGAGTGGATTCACAGATAACAGGTATTTGGAGCCACCAAGTAGATGCAAGAACTACAGCTGCCTTAAAAACTGGAGAGGCTCGGCTGCTACTTGCTTTTTCCCTAGAAAAGTTCACATTTCCCCACTATCCCAGAAAATTTATTTACAACAAGGAAAATTTCCCTCACCTTGATAATCCATATTTAAATTATATGTAATGAGCAATACCTCTTATGTTCACTTCTGGTTATTATGCTCATAGTTGCCTTACCTTTCAAAAGAGCGCACTGCTGACTTTAGACCAAAGTCTTCTTCCTGATTTTTTGTATGCTGAAGGCAGCTAATGGGCACCTTGTATGCTTACTTAATTGTAGGTACAGCTCCACATCTCCCCCTAAAGGGCCCTTTCCCCTTTTACTAAATCTTGGTTGGATGCTTTTACAGGACCGGTATAGTGCACTCAAGTTGCTTCCTTTAATTTTAAGAAAAGCAGTTATTTTAACATTCAAAATGTGTCCCTTCTTACACCGACGTTTTATCAGATTTCTTTTGTGCTGCTATGTATTTGCCTTTACTGATTTAGAGCTGTTTCAGCTTTGTCTCTTGCCAATTGAAATTCAAGCTCTTAACACCAAGTTGTGATTACATGGTATTGCTTCTGTTTATTGACTGTGTGAGCATGAGTTTAATTAGCTTCTTGGTGCAAATGCAGGTAGAAAAATACACCTTTCAAATCCCACTGTTTTTCAGTCATCATGAAATTCCTTTGCTGCACCTGACATGATAAAAAAGGGCTGCGGCTGGACCCTCCCAGATGGTCATAAAACCGGATTAGATTTCTGTGTCAATCGCATTTGCTGCCATGCCCAAGCTGAGGTAATCAGCAAACAGCATCATCTCAAAAATAGTACTGCCATCATAGTTAAAAAAGCTGACAAAGAAGCAGTAATCATCATTGTGAACATTTCAGACATGAGGCTGAGAGGCAACTCCACCATGACATTTTACAGGCCCCAATTATCAGATCCCACTGAGGAATACCAGAAAGATCTACACAATCTGATGAAGGAATTTCCTACCAAAGTGCAAATCAAAAGCCATACATCTCAGGAGCCTCAACTAGACATTTTCTATTTGCCACCCAAACTACAGAAACCACAACACTTTAGGTGCCCCATAAGTTTAGGCTTCCAGTACCATCACAGATGGGGCGTTTGGATATACGGACTCTGTTTGCAGGCCATATGCCACCCGTACTCATGCTTGGTTCTGAATACAGCCAACTTTCTGAGGAAATGACAGTCTGGTGACAAGCTTCCAGAACACAATACCCTAGACTACACCAATATTTCCATATGATGGATATGTCATCGCAACACTTAATCCTAGATGGAGTCTCTGGGCCACCAGACTCTGCCACTTTGATACTACATTCCATTTGGGACTAGGAGTGAAACATTTTTAATTGGACTAATGGCTCACATCGGCACTCTGATGACCCAAAGCATACAAAGACCATGGGCTGATTTAGAACAACCTACTCACCACCTGGTCTCCCAAAGCCTCTTCCGGAAAACACACTCATACCTATGTTCCATGTTCATGTCTATGTCTATGTCTATGTCTATATCTACATCTATATCTATCTATCTATCTATCTATCTATCTATCTATCTATCTATCCATCTATTCTGCTAATAACATATATAAAAACACAACACAACAAAACATCAAACATTTTTTAAAAAAATATCATTTACAAGCAACAAACAAACAAACGAATAAATCAATAGAAATCAACAGCAACATCAGACAGTTTACAGTTATGCCTACCAAACAACCACCAACTCAACCAAACATTTTAATCAATCAATCCAAATAAATAACAAAACAAAATGGAACCACAAAACATTTAGCCATTATTTGGTCATGCATTTATGACATCTTACTATCTGGACCTTACTTAACAAAGATAGTTTGACAGCTCACCTGTCTGAACCTTCCTCAACCCACAATAACTGAGTCTTGACTGGTCCTAGATAGAATCACTTTCTGAACTACTGTAAAATTACACAATGACTTGACAGCATGTTATCACTATACATAGGAAACCAAATGTCTGCTACACCTACTTACATGATTCCAAAGTGCATCCAGAACATGCACTACAAAATCTATCGTTTACACCCAATCTCTATGTTATGACCAGATCAGCCTGATCAACAAGAATTCTGGCAAGATAGGTGCCAAGAACAGGTGACTCACTGCACCATTAGTCTTCCTCATCCATTGATGGAGATCAAACCAAGCCAGATTGGTACCAATAAGAGGATGAACTGAAGGAGAAATGACAGAAATCCACTGACATTTTTGGTTCCTAGCTGAAACTGACTCAAAGATAATCAGACTATAGCTTACCGTCAGTCAATGATAACTTTGACCAGAGGGCCTCTGGCTGGTGGCCTGGTACTACAGAGTTTCTTAGATAACACCCCCAAAGCAACCACCACCAGCAACCATGAAATAACATAATGAGATCTGGGGGCCAGAATCACAGTAACCTGAGATTGGGACCTATCCCTCTTTCTACTCTGGCAACACTATTACACTATCTAATAGCGTATTGTGCCAGTCACACCATAAGTTGTTCATTCACCTGTTCATCTTCCAGAGTGATATATGTTATGTCCCAGCAGTGGCTTTCAGCATTCTGCATAGGACAAATAGCCCAGTCTCTACACAAAAGAACCAATTAATGTGTTCCAGGAAAGCTTATGAAAAAATAAATATACTGTAATAAATATAGTGCCACAACACTCTTTCTTGTATCTGCTGCAGCATGCTACCATGCTGTAAACTCGTAACTTCAGACTGCACATGGACACAGTATATTTTAAAATATGTATTTTAATATAAAAATAACCTTATAAATATTCCCAGTTATAAACACACAAACCCAAAGAAAACTAGAACGTCATCAGGAGTTAGTCAAGCCCTCTCCTTCATGTTCTCCTTTTGTACATAGAGGGAAGTTTGGGGTTTTATATGATGGAGCACTAAGAAATAGACCCTCTGACATGCACAATGAACTAGCATGTTCCACATCCTTTGGTCTCTCACTTTGCTCTGCACAAAGTGATCTTGACTTTATCAACATAGTTTGTTTTGAAAAGAAAAGAACAACCAATGCTTTGTTGGTGTCATTCCAGTCTTCCTTCATAGCCTTTCTCTCAAGACTGTGGCCCACAGACAGGTCACAGAGTAATTCAGACCTCAAGGACTCATGTAATCAGTGCTGGATTTACATATAAGCTAAACAAGCTATAGCTTAGGGCCCCACTCTCTTGGGGGCCCCCAAAAAATTTAAAGGAATAAACCTGAATGTACATTTCCAAAATATAAGATAAAAAACAAATAAAATAAAACCTATAGGGACGCGGGTGGCGCTGTGGGTTAAACCACAGAGCCTAGGACTTGCCATTCAGAAGGTCAGCAGTTCGAATCCCTGCGACAGGGTGAGCTCCCGTTGCTTGGTCCCTGCTCCTGCCAACCTAGCAGTTTGAAAGCACGTCAAAGTGCAAGTAGAGAAATAGATACCGCTCTGGCGGGAAGGTAACCGGTGTTTCCGTGCACTGCTCTGGTTCGCCAGAAGCGGCTTAGTCATGCTGGCCACATGACCCGGAAACTGTACGACGGCTCCCTTGGCCAATAAAGCGAGATGAGCGCCGCAACCCCAGAGTCGGTCACGACTGGACCTAATGGTCAGGGGTTCCTTTACCTTTACTAGGCCCCTATGTTGTAAGTAATGGGCCCCGCCTGCCAGTCTGCTCCCTAAAATATCATTGGTTTGCTCATTTCTATATATAGAGTGTCTACATTCTGCCTGGATTGGTTGCATACTTCTTAATTGTAATTCAGTTCAACAATGACTTCTATAAAACACATATTTTATGTGCAAATGGCTTTAGATACCAATTAGGTCCATAAATTACCACATAGCATATATTCAACATAAAAAAACAGTGACAATTTGTTGTTGACAAAGGACAGCTGGACATATAAAGGGCCCCATTACCTTCAGTAGCTTAGGGCCTCATCAAACCTAAACCCGGCCCTGCATGTAATGCATTTTTTTCATGGCTCTGCCTTATACGATGTTCAGGAACATCTCTGTAGTCAGAGCTAGTATGAAACAGGAGCCTAGCACTCTGAGATGGGCTGCAAACAGCAAATCCCACTTTTGGTAGCTTCTCTGAAACAGGTGATTGTTGGTTGTGATCAACAGGGACGTCTTTACCATTGGGCGTAGTGGTACGGCAAGCCAGGGCGCCAAGCAGTGGAGGCTGCCAGGAGGATAGTCCAGGGAGGGGATAGCGGGGGGGCAAGTGAGGCGGAGCAGGGGCTTGGTGCCTGCGCACCTCCAGCACCCATCACAGGCAGGAAGGCTCCGGATGCTTTCCTGCAGTCCGGAGCTCTCTCCGCTGGCTCCGCAAGACACCAGCTCCTCGGCTGTGTGGTGTGTGCTTGTATCCCAAGCTCTGCGTATAATAAACATGACTCTACCACCGCTCCCCCCATCCACTCTATCTCAAAAGATCCCTGCGCTCGAGGCTACACACCGCATCTGCTGCCCCCAACTCCCCTTCCCCTGCTTCTCTGCTGCCTTGCACAGAGCCTGCCTCCTCCCGCTGCCCCCACTGCCTCTGCACTCCTTCACACGAACCACGTTTCCTTCCCCTGCCCAATCCCCTCCCAGTCACACTCTCTCTCTTCCCTTACTCCCCAAGCAAGGATGGCAAGACTGTGGCTGAGTGAGTACGCTTTTCTGCTGCGGCAATGCGGACGGCCCAGCTCACTTCGCCTGTCTCTGCCCGGATGAGACCCCTGCTTGCCTCCCCATCATGCCTGGCTGCCCAGCCCCACACCATGATCCCACAGCCGGAGCCGATGCCTGGCCTCATGCGAGCAGTACAGGGCAGCAGCGCAAGGGCAGAGCAGAGCAGCCTTTCCTAAAAAAGGTCAACAACTCTGGGAAACGGGGTGTGTGTCTGTGTGCCGGAGGGATCTTCGCACCACAGCGCCGGATATGCTTAAGACGGCCTTGGTGATCAGCAAAGCATCTGCTGTAGCACTGGGCTACAAACTTCAATGTCCACATGTGTAGAAGCTTTTCACTTTCTTCTATGAAGGGAAATGCTTATTTGTCTGCATTTTAGGCTTTCTATATTATATGCTAAAACAATCTCCTGAATGTGAAGGAAAATGAGGAAAACCCTGGGCTTATAGACCCCTATGCATGCATCTGAACTCCTGCATAACCAGCTGATTGCTATGTAGCATCCAGGACTGATTTATTCCCAGTGTCAGAAACATGATGCATCTCCTCAGTTCTGAGATTGGATTGAAAAAGGTAACTCAAAATAGAAAGAGAAATTGTCCCTTTGTTTCCATGCCTTTTGATCAAAGTAGACATGATATATTTATTCGCTTAATTTTTAGCTCACCTTTCAGTTCAAAGAACATCTCCAGCATAGTTCCTAGAAAATAAAATTAGGCTTTCTAAACCATTCAATTATTAAAACAGCTAAAATATCCAATTACCATATGCAATTCAAATCACCAATCAGCCACAGCAAAAATAAACAGGAGCACAAAGATATTTATTATCAACTAACTCGAGGCTTTAAGAAACAGAAATCTTCCCACCCTGGTTCAGCTTCTTAATGCAGAGATGAGTTACATTGGTAGATTTCCTTAGGCAGGGAGTTCCACGGGGAAGAGACAAATACTGAAAAGACACTGATTCTTTTAAGTGCCTTATGGGCACAAAAATCTGTAGAGCCCAAAGTAGGACCGAAACTAATGACCTAATCAGACAAGGAAGTTCATACAGGAACAAACATTCCCTTAACAGCGAAAGCCTATGCATGCTTATTCAGGAGCATGTCCAATGTTATCCAATGGAACGTGGTCCCATATATGTGGGCACAGAATGTCAGCTTGGCAGGGCAATGCGAGGCTTGGGTTGTATGGCTTGGACAGAGGTGCTGTCAGGGTCGTCTTACCCATAGACGCTAGGGGTGTGGGGCACCCAGGTGCCAGGCTCTCAGGGGCACCAGGCTGCGAATCCGGGGCCTGAGAGTTGAGTCTGGGGAAGAGCCTGCCCGTTGGTCAGTCCGAGTGCTGTGGTGGGCTCTTCTGCTGCAGGCGGCTCTGTGCTGCGGGTTCGGGGCCGACTGAGCCAGCAAGACACTAAGGCGGCTGGCTGGCTCCGCCCTCCTGCACGCCTGGGAATGGGCAACCTGGGGGGGCAGATCTTTGCACCCTGGCGCCACATATGCTTAAGACAGCCCTGGGTGTTCTCCCCACCCACCAGCTAAACCAGCCTCCTGCTAGCCACTACCAACAGAGTGACGCAAGCCTCAGTACAGCATCCCCCTACTGCCTATCAAACAGGTAGGTGGCAGTGCCATCAGTGGGATTCCCACTCCAGAAAACAGCAGATGGTCTTGAAATCAGGCCTTCTGGAGGCAGGGTGAGGCTGAGCTGGCCTGGGATCCAGTGGATCCCAAGCTGAGCACACCAATGTCATGTGATGGCAGAGGGCCCAGTCGCTGTGCCAGCTTGCAAACATTTGTTCCATCATGAGTTGTAAAGGTGCATTAGCAGTGGCAAAATCCCACCCACTGGGGACAGAAGGTTTGGATTGTGCTATAAGAAATTTTGGGCTGCTGTGATGTTGTGCATCCTTCACTTTGTATGTGAGCACTCAGCTTTTCTCAGAAGTACTGAGTGACAGCTTGGATCTTTACAAAGGATTATTTGATCTAGGCAAGTTTTCCAGATGTACTCAAATTTCCCCTACAAACTCTGAAGGCAACCAACGTTAAAAGTGAGCAATGCTCAGGTTTCTAATTAGAGCCCGCATACTGAATTTCCCACTGCTTCCTTGGAAAGCTGATCTTACTTTGAACTATGTAATATCCACACAGATCAGCTGAATGTTACCTGACTTTAACCCATCCTTGAGCAGAAAGGTGACAAACCCTACTGAGAAATTTGAGCTTATTTACATTAAAAAGAGAGGACTTCTCTTTAAAAGTCCAACACATGTGTTGCCTGAACAGAGCCATCCAAAACCACCTCAGATTTTGCTTCAGGCAAAATCCAGTGGCAGTTCCATTTCCAAGATCCACCAGTTTCTGAGGATATGTAAACTAAAGAAACCATTCTGGCTTTTAGATTTAATTTTCAAAATAGGGGGTGGAGATCATTAATGGCACTAGACAGTTAGTGCCATAACCACTGCAGGGTTCCTATTTGCATTTGAATTTCTAAACATTTGCAAGAAAAGTAGCAGTAAGAGGCTTTTGAAGCAGTATAATCTTTTCCCACCACAAGAAAAAAAAACCTCTTGTCTCTGACAGGTACTTCTTAGGACTGTGTTCAGATTAACTCTTGCCTTGTGGTGCTTTCCTCAACTCACCAGGCCACTGAGAAGCCTTCTCTGTTTCTTCTCATGGCATTTTAAAATTATGTGTGCAGATGAAACACCTATGAATGTGAACGCTCAAACTCTCTCTCACAAGTTTCTTGTGTTGTTGTTTTATTTCCCAGGCACATATCAGTTCAGCTCCCTGGAGTCTGCACCACTCGGAACTTCGCTTGGCAGAATAAAAGCCAATGACCCCGATATGGGTGAAAACGCTGAGATTGAGTACAGCATAGCTCCCGGCGATGGATCGGACGTCTTTGATATCATCACTGACAAGGACACACAGGAAGGGATTATAACTGTCAAAAAGGTTTATTTTTCCTCCTTCTCTTTTATTGGACTTAGCACTCCAGGTCTTAGGGTGTGTGTTTTCTCCCAGACAGGAGGGAGCAGAAGGTTCCCTGTGAGGTCAGCTGCAGAGAAGCTAGCATATTATGTCTGTTCTTCTTCTTTTCATTGCCAGGTAACCGTTAAACTTCAGAACTTGTGGTATGGGTTTTTTTTTGTTTTGCTTTGAGTATGTCAGTTCACCTATAGAGATATCCTTGGGAGCTCAGGCCTGTCAGATGCATTCAGACATCCCTGCATGACAACTTCTGAAGGATGGATATGTCAGGGTAAGGGAGGGTGGTTAGTTTCACAAAGCAGCCCACCAGGTTGCTGTTTTGGTTTGCAGTGAATGGAGACAGCCAAACTATGAAATCTGGTCCTAAAGATAGAGGTCTGAGGAATTCCAGCCTCTAATGAGCACATTCCATGGGCAGCTTTTGGTCCACTAATGAGACCTTCCCTGCTGCCTGGACTCTGTCAAACAGATATATATATATATATATATATATATATATATATATATATATATATATATAAAATTGTGTGAACACACATAAATTTAATGTGGACTTAAGCTACTGCTTTCCTTTAAAGGAGATGGGCACAAATTGAAATTGTGTTAGCAATACTTGGGTTCTAAGGCTTCCTCTCGCCTTACTAATAAATATTTTGATGGGATCTTAACAGTCTCAAGCTTTTTTGGGGGATGCCTCATCCCTGTGTCCTTCCTGCATGCCTGTTGGCTGTCTTCTCCAGTCAAATAGATGAAGAAACACCTGCAGGTCAAGAAATTCTGTGGGCAAATTCCTGTAAGGAACTGCTGGCCCAGGGCATCAGCTTTCAGGTCTCTCTTGATCTCCCACTGGCTAGCGTACAGATGGCTTCTACTCATAGGTTATCTTAAAAGACAGAGAGAAAAATAATAATTTGTGTGTCAGAGCAAATCTATACCCTGTCTCTCCATAGTGCAAGGAGGTTGCAGGATAGACATATTATTTATCTTCAACAGTGTGGTATGTGCCTCTAAACTACAGTATGTGTTATAGCTCGCAGCTAGGCAGGAGTTAAATTGCATGCACATTAGTATATTTGGACAGCTTTCTGCTGTAGTGGGGACCACATGCCCTACAAACAATGGGATATATGTGTCCAATCAAGTTATCCCATTAGCACAAGGAATCCCACATGTGCAATGAGACTTCCTTTATCTCCTCTCCCTGTGCACACCTGAGCCCCCCTCCCAAGACTGTTCTAGGATTTCCACACACCCCAACCCTCCAGAGCTGATTGGGGGTTGGGTGGGTGAAGAGAAGAGGGAGATGAAGTCCTATTGCACAGGCAGAAGTCCTTACACTAACGGGATAACTTCATCAAATTTAACCCTATGAGGTTACAAGAGAGTAGTAACCCAAAGCACAGGTTACCCATAGACTACTATAACTCTTCACTGGTTCATATATTGATCCAGAACAGCACTGCAGTACCTTGGTGGATCAATGCTCTCCACTATACAGATGGACCCTACTTGAACTGTGCCCTTCACACAAGCCAAATCCACCAAAATGGAAAGCCTAGAGGAGATCATGTGAGATGGAGCATGGTCTGCCTAATCCAAGTGCTCACAGGGCAGGCCCAGTTCATATTGGAGGCTGTATGGAGAGTAGCTTGCACTGCTCCTTCACCTCTGACAATTCACCATCATCTCCCAAGAAATGTAAGAGCCATAGTAACAGTCCCCCAATTAAATTCACAAGTTTAAGTGACAGCAAAGCAGGAACAGTTTTACTAAAATTCCAGTTGCCTTTCTGGGTTTAGGTTTACTTTGTCAGTACAACATCACATAGTTTTACACTGTAATTCCAAGGGCCAAACTAAATGTTAATGAATGTGCCATTCAAAACTCCATATTCCCTTTGTAATATTATTATGGGGGATTGTCAGTGGCATTTTCTGGGTTAAGTGGGTGAATAGGAGGAGATCTGGGCAAAGCTAAACATCCTCTTTTCTTTCCTGATCTTCCCCTGATGAACATTTTTTCTCTCTTTGCTGAGTTCAGCTTTAGTTAAAAATGAGCATCCTGAAGGTGCCAAGATTTATCCTAAATGAGAACAATTTCTGGCTCATATATATATATTCCACTGATTGTTACAGGACTATGTTTAGAATGGGTGTAATTTTGAGTCAACAGCAATTAGTCATTGATTTTGTGGATTGCAGCTAATGGTGCATGCAACATGCAGTGTGTTTTGGCAGATCTCAGAGAGATGAAACAGTGATTTGTATTGATGGATATATAAGAACCAACACACCCACCCCAAACAAAACTTTTAAAAAATGCCACAGTAGGCAAAATTAAGTTGACGAGGAGCCTTTATCAGAGCCATTATTATTTCAGAGATCATTATTGCAGCAATTAAGGCTCCAATCCCTAAGCCCATTCACTTGGGTAAGTAAGTTTCATTGATTTCAATGGAATGTACTCTGAAATAAATACCGGAATTTTGTATGAGTCTGGTGCATAGGTTTTGAAGATTGGTATAACAAATACATAATGATACTTCGCTCTCACAAATTCACGCTGAATGGATGAATCAAAATTGTGAGTGTACTTCCCCAAGATGACATTGAAAACTTGGTTCACGCATTGTCTAACATGTTCAGGTTATAAGCAAAGTCTGAAAATGGGCTATTATTCACCTCTCTGCTTCAAAAGCTGGGACAAGAAATAGCAGCCAGCAACTGCAACACAGGCCAAGAGGAGAGGGAAAGTTGCTTGGTGAGAGTTCCCTTTCACAAAATTTAAACTATGGAAGTATCTTCACGGTGGTAAATGGTGTATCTGTTATTGTGGAAAGCAGGAACTAAAACTAAATGAGTCAAACATACTAGTACAGTAGTACCTTGGTTGCCAAATTTAATCCATTCCGGGAGTCCATTTGATTCCCAGAACCATTCGAAAACCAAGGCATTGCTTCCTATTGGCTGCAGGAGCTTCCTGCATTCAATTGGAAGCAATGGAAGCTGCATCAGATGTCCGGCTTTCAAAAAAAACGTTCACAAACCAGAACGCTCACTTCCAGGTTTGCGGTGTTTGGGAGCTGATTGGTTTGGGAGCCAAGCCGTTGGACAACCAAGGTACCATTGTACCTGGAAATGGGATGTCTCACGTAGGTCTTACAAGACTGGGGAAGGAGAATTTGCAGTGGGAGAACACACCTAGTGTTGCATTATGACTGAGCAGACCCAAGTTCAACTCCCTACACATTTAAGAAGCTCACTGGGTGACCTTAGGCCAGTCCAAATCTGTCAGCCTAACTAGCCTCACAAATTCATTGTGAGGATATAATTAGAGGAGGAAGGAGTAGGTGCACCATTTTGAAAAGTGGGACATTGTATTAGTAGCTAGCTCTATGCCTTTTCCACACTGCCTTTAAAAATTATCTAAGCACGTTAACTCCTGCCAACCTAGCAGTTTGAAAGCACGTCAAAGTGCAAGTAGATAAATAGGTACCGCTCTGGCGGGAAGGTAAACGGCGCTTCTGTGCGCTGCTCTGGTTCCCCAGAAGCGGCTTAGTCATGCTGGCCACATGACCCGGAAGCTGTACGCCGGCTCCCTCAGCCAATAAAGCGAGATGAGCGCCGCAATCCCAGAGTCGGTCACGACTGGACCTAATGGTCAGGGGTCCCTTTACCTTTACCTAAGCACATTAAAGTAATAACAAAAATTTACTAAGAGTAAAAACGTGGCAAGATACTGCCTTGTTTATCGTCTTTCCCCCACAAAACACTGTCAGAAATTGAGAAAAGACCACCGAGAACATATTACCATGTCGTCGTCGTCCCATCATTTTGTTGTGATGGAATAGAACTGTTGGGAAGCTGTCTTGGTGGATGATAGATAAGAACACAGTAATCCGCCTTATAGCAAGTCAGGCCATTGAGCCCATGCAGATCTGTATTATCTGCCCTGAATGGCAGCGACTCTTCACATTTCCAGTCTTACCTGGAGATGCAAGGACTGGAACCGGGACCTTTTGCATGCAAAATAGGTGCTCTACCACTTAGTAGTATGACTGGGCACAGGACAGATAGAAATTTCGGAGTTAGAGGAGGAATGGCAGATGAAACTGATGGACTATATGGAACTGGCGGAAATGACTGGTAGAATCCGTGACCAGGGAGAAGAGTCGGTGGAGGAAGATTGGAAGAAATTCAAAGACTATCTGCAGAAACATTGCAAAATTAAAGAATGTTAGAGTGATGTTGGATTAAAAATAAGTGGCTTCCAGCTGTCTAGGATTTAAAATTACGGATAGATTAAGATTAAGGATTAGGATTTAAAAAGTTTAAGGAAATGGAAATTTGGTTTTTAAAAGGTAAAATTTTAATGTTATATTATAGTAAGAGTTAAGATTGGGATTAAAAAAAAGAGGGAAAGAAATTGCTAGACAAACAATTTGAACTGGAATACAAAAGAGGGAGGTACGAGGAGGTCCAGAAAATAAGTAAATTTAAAAATGGAGATGAAAAGATGATACTGTTTTTAATTGTTATACTTTCTTTTTTGTCTTTTGTTTTCTTGTTTTTTATTTTTTATTTTTCCTTTAGATTATATATTGTATATTTTGAATTGTGTATTTCTTTTTTATGTTTTATGTTTAATCTTTTATTGAAACTTTAATAAATATCATTAAAAAAAAAAAGAAATTTCGGAGTTAGCAAAAAGATTTATAACAAGTGGTTTCCAACAGTACTAGTTCTACTTCGTTATCCTTCTGAAATGTAGTTGTTTTTCTATGTGACATTCTTTTCCATTTCTTCTCCCCCACCCCACCTTTGACTGCAAGCAATTAGATTTCGAAAAGAAGAATCTATATGCCCTAAAAGTGGAGGCAACCAACGTTCATCCTGACCCGCGATTTTTCTACCTGGGACCATTTAAGGACTCAGCCTTGGTCAAAATTTATGTGGAAGATATCGACGAACCACCAGTGTTTAGCATACCTTCTAATTTACTAGAAGTAGATGAAGATGCCAGGGAAGGTAGTATCATTGGGCAAGTGGTAGCTCAGGATCCGGATGCAGCAAGGAACATAATAAAGTAAGTCAACTTCCACAAACAGTGCAAATAGGCATCAAGTGTGCAATGTCCTTGCATTTCTCTAACGAAAGAAAAAGAAAAAAGGGAGGCATAAAACCTTAAATCTTGCTTAACAGCCATTGTTGAAATCTCGTGATTTGAAGATATTATTGAAGTGCTTACTAATTTCAATAAGGATAGGTCCACATTACTATAGTTATTGCTATTAATGTCGTTAGCATTTTATTATTATGTGTTACACTAAGGAGGTCAGAATGGATTATGTATGGTTCTTGTGTGCCACTTTGAGCATTATTTGGAAAAGTGACATATAAGTAAATTGGATGAAGGTAGCTCAAAAGTAGTCTCTTATCAAGGCAACTTAAAAGGCCAAAATCTTCAGCAGTAAAACTGCAACATGTGATTTCCTACCATTTTTCTAGACCAGTCCAAATATCACTTCTTTTTGAATAGTTATGTTTACTTCAGTGGAAATTCACATAGCTGTTTTGTTGTTACAGAGTTGTGAATTTCATTATTTGATGCATAACTCAGTAAGAATCTTGGTTCTTCACATTGTGTTTATATTTTAAATGATATGTTCAGTTCATAGATTCATCTATTTCAGTTATAATATTACAGAGCTTTTACATCTGGCATTCAGTTGTTTGGATGTTTGGATTCTGGTTTCTTCCCATCTTTTACTGTAAGGTTCAACTCCATTTTGATGTAAAAATATTTAGTAACGTATTTTGGGTAGCACAGCAGTTAGATTTTGTGTGTGTGTGTGTGTGTGTGTGTGTACTTATATACTGGTTATAAAGTGCACTATTTTAAACCTCTGTTAAATGTTCAAAAAATTAATTAAAATCACAGTATGACTAGAAGACCAAGAGGCAGCCTGTGTTGTAATTTGACAGATATACTTTGGATCGGCACACTGATTTGGACAGAATATTCAACATCCACTCAGGAAATGGGTCCATATTTGTCTCAAAGACACTTGACCGAGAAGCGGCCCCATGGCACAATCTCACTGTCATAGCAACTGAAATCAGTAAGTGGCAGGTGCATCCTGTTGCATGGTTTTAAGTGTTTCCATATATATATATCTGCACAATATCACACCCAGTACTGCAACAATATATTCTGGGCAGTATCCAACTAAATAGCTATGTTAGTGCAATGACTTTTAGCTGCACAATGTAACTTCCACACCACCCTAAATCTGCTCTGAACTTCCCCCCAACCCTCTGGAGAAGATATAGTTGACATGTGGGGAGGTGTGGGGAGAGTAGCAGGTGGGGCAATTACTTCATATAGCTAAAAGTTGTTGGGGTAGTGTAAATGTTTTGTTAGACAATCCCCACGTGTCACATATAGTACTGTAATATATGTCATTTTAAAATTTTACAGATCCATGCAAAACGTATTGTTACAGTTTAACACTTAGACTGCAATTCTATGTTCACTTCTCTGGGTGTAAGCCCTGCTGAACCCAGTGGGACTTATTTCTGAGTAGACATGCATAGGGCTACATTGTAAATCGTAAAAGAGAATATGCTGTTTATAGAACCACCCAGGGTTTGAAATGGTCTCTTGTGTGTTACTGTAGTTTTTATCAGGGGGTTCAATAACAACACCTAATATATCCTCTTATGAGATGGTTCCCCAGTCAATATTTAGAGGCCCTTTTGTGTATCTTTCTTGAGAGGTCTAATAGATCTATTGCCAAACTGGTAGCAAAATATGTGTATGTTGTCATGTCTCTTAGATCTGCTCAACACTCTCTCTCACTCTCTCTCTATCTCTCTCACTCTCTCAGTTCTATTCTGGCTGTGGGAGGTAGAGAAAGAGTGATGAGGTTTGTATGGTGCTAATACATTGACAGAGCCAATTTGGTATTCTCACAGATGTGTTTGCACTGCATTGACCTCGTTTCTGCCTTATCCCACCCCCTCTGATTCTCAGTATGCAGCAGTCACATGAATGACCATAGGTCATGTGAACAGTGGCTCCCCACCAAGCCACCCACAACTGGTAACAGCCCAAGAGTTTCAGCAATAAACTTATTTCCTTCTGAAAAATGAAGTCTCTGGCAGATGAAGATACAGGGGAAGGTTGGAACCCCAAACACCAACCTTGCTCTGTTTTCAGATATAATGCACAAAACCTTGGTGACTATCTCCTTTCTTGGGAATGGAGGCTTCCCCAAGTGGGAAAGTCTTCTGATCTGTGAAGGTACACTTCACAGTGTACCTTCAGCCTTCAGGCAGGAGACTACCCAGTCCCTGAGAAGGCAGAGCTTTAAACGTAGTAGTAGTGCAGTGAAAGTAAAGGGGGCAGATTAGGGAAGCTCTGGTGGGCTAGCAGCTCAACGACTTGCTGGGGAGAGAGTAGGGATGGGCTGTGCTTGTGTCCTCTAGCTGAGATTCAGGTAACAGCCTTAATAAATAACAAGATGAAAGATAAAAAAACAACAACAAGGTAACAGCCTTGTTAGATTGCAATTCCATTCCCCTGCTCTGCATATGAATGTACACATACACCCTTTGTTCCTTGACCCGCCCCTCCAGGATTTGGGGAAAACTTGGGATGGCTTTTTAAAAATATAAATTATGTACTTCTGCAAACCTTGGGGTTCTGCCAGATATGCTGTTTCTTCCCTCTGGCAAGGTGGGTGGTTTTTGTTACATAAGGATCAGCACTCACACTGCAACATCAGAAATAGTGGGAATTATGGTGTAAGATTGTGGCTATTGTTTCTGTTTCAGGCAACCCCAAGCAAAGTACCCAGGCTCCCATTTTCATCCGGATTTTAGATATAAATGACCACGCACCAGAATTTGCCAAGTACTATGAAACTTTTGTTTGTGAAAATGCAAAAGCGGGACAGGTAAATGCATATTTACTGTTACCAACAAACTTGCAGATGAAATCTCAACACTTTCTGCACTTAGATCAATCCATAGTGGCAGTCTGACCTGTGCTTGATTGGTAGAGATGGGGGAAAGGGTCATATTTTTGAATCCCCCTAATTCACACATTTTGTTTGTCTAAGCATTTTGATTTCATCTCTTTTATAGCTGGCCACACTGACTATTTGATAAAAAGGCAGTATGTAAAATTACGATAATAATTGAATACGTGTTCTCCTTTGAGAGGAAGAGTGGGATATAATTACTACTACTGCTACTACTACTACTACTACTACTACTACTAATAGACATAACAACATTTTACGACTGTGGAAAAAAAGTTACTAAATTAATTGTTCCATTCTATAAACCAGTGGTTCCCAATTAGCTAAGCACTGCAGACCCCCTGTTTTCAAGGGCCAAACCATGGATCCCCTACTTTTCAAAATTTTGATATCTCTATGGTAGCTTTTGTTATGTATTATAAGAAATAATAATTATAATGTGAATGGTGCCATGGACTCCCTGGAGTCCGCAGACCACCAATTGGGAACTACTGCTCTAAACTGATATGTGTCTAAGGCAGGGGTAGTCAACCTTTTTATACCTGCCCACTAATGCATCTTTCTGGATGGTAAAATTTCCTTACTGCCCATCAGTGCTCGATGGAAGGAGGATTCAGCTTGTGCCATAGAACCCCCTACCACCCACCTGGAATCCTGAAACGCCCACTAGTGGGCAGTAGGGACCAGGCTGAACCCCGGTCTAAGGACTATACAGTCGTACTTTGGATTCCAAACACCTCGGTACTTGGATGTTTTGACTCCCAAATGCTGCAAACCCGGAAGTGACTGTTCCAGTTTGTGAATGTTCTTTGGAACCTGAACATCCGACGGGGCTTCCGTGGCTTCTGATTGGCTGCAGGAGCTTCCTGCAGCCAATCGGAAGCCGCACTTTGGTTTCTGAATGTTTTGGAAGTCAAATGGACTTCCAGAACAGATTCCGTTCGACTTCCAAGGCACAGATTTGACTATCATCTAACTAATGCAGACTGCTGTGGGGTTTTTTGTCAGAAGCAAAAGCAAGAAGGCAATACTTCTTTTTTAAAAGGAGTTCTACTTTCTTGATATTTCAATATTACTGCATATGACGCAAATCTGTATTCAAGACCCAATCATTAGTATCTGGGTCCATTTTGCCTATCCAAGATGCATCCACACCAAGACCGCTGAAGGGAAAATATTGCAGCTTGAAAGAGACCTAGGCTTGATGAGGGGTTTCAGGGGGTGTATCCAACGCCAGGCAGGTAATCAATATCTGCCTCAGGGTGAACAGGTAGAATTACATGCTTTGGCTAAAATTACTTTGATACTTCGTGTATATTTTTCAAGGTAAAGACTGTCAAAGGGTTAGTTAACGATAAGCATGGGGGAGGCTTTTGATTCAGTTCACATTTAAAGATGAACCAGCCTAACTCTCTGAAACAAAGCACAAACCATAACACAGCCACCCTTCAAAATTTGCACTTTTCCTAATTCTTGGATAACAAAACTGCATGGACAGTGTCTCCATCCTAATAAAGACACATGCACAATATCACTATTTAAACTTAGTTCCAAAATGCACATCACCATAAATAAATTCTAGTTTGCTGTGCATCAATGGTGCCCCGAATCCAACACATTAGCTTGCCAAGTTATTGTACTGTGTGATTAAAAAAAAAAAGGTAAAAGGTGTGGTATGAACAGTCCACATCCTTCTTTTTGCATCTCATGATACAGTAGTCAAATAAGATTCCTATGCTTTGCCTTTATTGTGGACATTCATTGTGTACTAACCAAATGCATCATCTTCACTTAATTATTAGTGGAAAGATTATGGTCTTCAAATCTTGGAAAAACTGAAAGGCAGGTTATTGGCCTTCACAGCTTCATAATAGTCTATGGTTATACTTGCTCAGTTGCAGTGTTGGGCAACACAGAATATCAGACATTAAATAGACAGATGTTTAATGATACAGCATCTCCAAGTGACTCCAGCTCAATTCTTATTTAACATGAGAAGTAGGGTTGCTGATATCCCTTGCTTCTATTTCGTGCTGGTCTGGGAATGCACAGAAGTGTAAAAACAACATGGAGTCCAAGGCTGGATGCAGGAGGTATGATTTGAGTGGTTTCCCCTATGGTTTATGTAATTGCAATGAAGGCAGGAAGCAGACAACACACTGGCCCCATAAGCCTCAGACCTTTAACAGTGCAACAAATGTACAGGCTTGATGCACACCAAAGTTTTTTGAAGTGTTGACTACAATAGATGCACCTCGTTAGTATAGCTTTGTTTTTCCGTTATGCATAAATTTACACTGCCGCTGCTTCAGCGAGAAACCAACTTTCTTATTCTTAAATACTGAAGATGCAGATAATGAGACACCACACTAGAAAAACATCTTCGCAAGTAAAACGGATAAATCAGACATTCCCCCTCCCAAATATATATATATTGGTGATGGCACTTAACAGCCACACAATGACATAGGAGCTGCAAACTTCCATTAACATTCCCTACATTTTCAGAGTGAAGGTGGAAATACTTGTAGCTCACTTACTTAAAGGTACAGTGGTACCTCAGGTTAAGTACTTAATTCGTTCTGGAGGTCTGTTCTTAACCTGAAACTGTTCTTAACCTGAAGCACCACTTTAGCTAATGGGGCCTCCTGCTGCCGCCACGCTGCCGGAGCACAATTTCTGTTCTCATCCTGAAGTAAAGTTCTTAACCAGAGGTAATATTTCTGGGTTAGCGGAGTCTGTAACCTGAAGCGTATGTAACCTGAAGCGTATGTAACCCGAGGTACCACTGTACATGAAACAACATTTGGGGCCTCATGATCAATCATAGTTTATCATGGTGGAAATGAACTGCTGTGAACCATTTTTTTTTTTAAGAATAATTTTTTATTAACTGACCAATCACATCAAATCAAACCAAATTACATAAATTCCAAATTACACAGCCGAATTTTAATTTTTTGTTGGGGGTACCCATATTTCAAGTTCCGAAGCGATCCAATCAACTTCTTGCTTCTTACTGCTGTTTTAATGTCCACAAATCTAACCTTATGATGTTCACAGTACTATCCAGTCCTTTCTTATTATTTTTCCACATCTCTTGTTGTTATTTTCATATATTTTTCCTTTCTCTTTGTGACCTCTGATAGTCTCCGCAAGCTGGTTAGAACAGTTTGTGAACTGCTGTGAACCTTGGCTGTTCCTCCTCTTCCTATGCTCCTGTGAGTCAGATGGCTCTCATATCTGCTATGCCACACTGACTTACACATTTTAATATACATCTGCTCCTCATGTGACATAAAATTCTCCCTACCACTGGGATAATGTAGATAACTAAAGTATCACATTATGAAGCTCACCTAAGGATAGTTTGGGAATCTTCAGTGGCTAAGTCAAAAGGCTCATCCACACTCCCATTAGCCTTGTTGCTTTCCCCTGGGGAAACCCGTGGTTAAGTGCTGAATCCAAACAACCACCCATCAGGTTTTCTGCACTTTTCTCTTTATTCCAATTGAGTGCTCAAGGTTCTCCAGGAGGAAGCAATGGGGCAAAGGGAAAGCTGCTCACAGCTGTGCCTAGAAACCATGTGACAAGTGGAAAACCCATGCATCTAGGCATGGAACAAGCGGAAATGTGGACGAGCAAAAAGTATGGAAAGATGTGTGACTCAGAGCCCTTCCACATATATCATAATTAGTGGTATCATATATAGCGGCATATATCATATATAGTGGTATGGCTACTGGGGTGTGCTTTTTTTGGGGGGGGGTTGGAGTCTGACAAATAACATCATCATTCATCAGCTAGTATTCCAGAATATTGTACCAGCTCCACCCGTTGCTTTTTTTTTCTACTGAGGGGAAAAAACCTGACTTTTGTGAAAGAGCCAGAATCGATCCTCAATATTTACATTTGTGTGGCATCTGTACAAGCATTGTCCCAGATTGTGTGTGGAGGCAGTGGCATCACAACAGGGGTGTGCCCTGGTTGCCATGTCTGGGGTGATGACAAGAAGGCACCCTGCGGGGGCTCGGCCCACTGCGGCGGCATGAGCAGCCATCGTGCCGCTGCATCCACATGTGGAGAATCCTCCGTTCGTGGATGCAGCCACAAGCAGAGGATCCCAGCGCCGGCGGCAAACCACTATGTACAGCGCATGTGTTGCATCGCACACATGCACTGTACATAACGACAACGCCCATGTGCTGTACATAGCGGTTTGCCGCCGGCGCTGCTCAAGCGCCATGTGGACAGCGGTGGGATCCCTCCGTCGCCGCTACAGCCGCATGTAGAGGATCCTCCATTCACGGCTGAAGCCTCGAGCAGAGGATCCCAGCAGCGTCCGTAATGCACTGGAGCGGCTGCAAACTGCTATGTACAGTGTATGTGCTATGTACGGCGTATGAGTTATACGTAGCGACGCTGCACATGCGCCCTACATAGCAATGCCCCACCCTGGGTATCACAATGCCTTCGTTTGCCCATGTGTGGAGGGGTTGGAATGCGGTTCAGCTTTCATTTAAAGTTGATCTTACCTAATTCACACTTTCCAGAACCAGGGCTTTTTTCAGCCGGAACTTGCCGGAACTCTGTTCCTAATGGCTATTGCCATTCTAAGAGAATGAGGGATGTGTTAATTGTGAGTTCTGACACCTCTTTTTCCAGAAAAATAGCATTGTCCAAAACCATATGCGCAGTGAAACACAGGAATCCTTCAAAATCCCCACGTCACCAAATTTGACAATGCAGTTCCCCAGCCATGTGTACAAAAATGCATATACTAGGGTAAAGAGTTTACAAAAAATGCACATATTCATGAAAATAACACAAAACATATCATGTTGGGGGGAAATGCTTTGTGGAAATGTGTACATTAGGAAACATTGCTTACTATTGTCTATATTGGGAGAAAATCACACAAAAATGCAGATGAATTCCCCTGAGGACCTTTAAATGAGGATTTCAAACTGATGTGGAAATGTGGAGAAGTGACTTTAATATTGGGAACATGAGAAACTGAGAGAAACCATAACCAACAGATTCACCCATCCCACACTGGGGGGCCTAAGAGCCTTATGATAAATTGTTAGAATTTGTCTTCTAGTTAGACATTTTCTCCTTGCATTCCTCAAGGCAGTAATTGCAGGGATCTAATTACATCCCTTTTTAATTAACTTGCTTATCTTAGTTTTGTTGTTTTGCAGACCTCTACAAAGGGGAAGTTTTCTCTTGCTGTTTTGATGCTTATATGAGAAGACTTTTCCTGTATACTTCAAGAAAAATTGCAGGGCTTGATCATGACACAGAGGTTGAAAATGCTGACAGCTATTTGACCCCCTACACCCTCATCTAAGCCGTTGTACTTGCCATTTTTGCTGCAGGGGGAATTAAACAGGTAGCAGCGATTCTGGGAAAAAACAAAATCAACAATTCAAATAAAGGATCAGCTTTGACAATAAGGTTGTTTTATGAAGCATGGAGGATTGTGGAAACATATTCAAAACGTGTGTTGCCAAGTGCAATATATTTCTTCATGGTCCTGCCACAACTACATTATGTGGGTGGATGACTCACAGAGGAGGTTTTTTCACCCTTCTTCTTTCTCTCAATTGCAACAGGAAAGCCTTATCTACAAAAATAGAGTTATGCAGTGAGCAGGGAATGACACTTTCTGGTGATCTTCTATTAAGATTTATGAGAGAATTTTTGTTTTTTTAAACTCACTAACTTGCCTAAAAATAGCCTGTTTATGAGAGGTATATAATTTCACCCAGAAACAATTTTTCATGCTTGCCTTGTGGACACCGTCCTAAGTTTTGGGTCATTTCTTGGCAAGAGGTGTCAGTGAAAATGCATTTAGATCCCATTCCACCTGTTCTGCGGCTTGCTTATAGAATACACAATTGCTGCAGCTAAACCCAGGTGACCGCTGATTCCAAAATGAAGATTTGTGTATTTATATCCAGAGCTGTTTATAGTCCATGCTGTTGTTACTGTTGGTTGTTGTTATGTTTTTAATGTGAAATGATGTGTAAAGTAATCCTAATTCAGCACCAAGGAAAGCTCAGTTCTTCAATTTCCACATCAAATGAATTTACATCTTTTATTCCACATAATTGCTTCTGCTTTTTGTTTTATTTTACTGTCTTGCATAATTGGCTCTGGGTTTGCTAGTCAGGCAGAGGAAATGACAAGGAGCTATGCAGGGGACAGAAGCACCCCCTCCTTCGCCTAGAAACCTTTCTGAATATGCAAACCCTCTGATTCCCAAGATTTTAGCAAGCCTTGCCTTCTATGAGCAGCCGACAGCATGGCAGGTCTGTGTCACTTATCTGGTCTTCCTCTGTTTGCATCACTGCTGTATGCTGGGAGCAGAAAGGTTGGTACAATGAAAACGCACTGGTAGGTATGCTGGATTGGCAGTGGTGTAGCGTGGGGGGTGCAGGGGGGGCCGGCCGCACCGGGTGCAACATCTGGGGGTTAGGGTTAGGGGGCGCAAATCCACAGGTTAGGGGGTGCAAATTCACAGGTTAGGGGGCGCAAATTCATGGGTTAGGGGGTGCAAATTACTTGCCTTGCCCTGGGTGCTGACAACCCACGCTACGCCACTGTGGATTGGCATTCCTCTCCATCACAGTATGCAACAATGACAGAACCAGAGGGAGTTCAGGTGAGCAATTCAGCCCCATCAAGCCATCAACTACTGCCCTTCTCATTTCCACATAGATCGTCACAGCCATGAAGACTGGAAACTTGCTCCTGTGTTTTTAAATGGAACCTGATGCTCAGCAAACGAAATTCTAGACCCAATAAACACTCTTCAGGTTTCCTTCACTGAATTGCAGCATACACCCAGTACTAAAGAGACTCTTACTTTCCCCCTTAGTTGGTCCTTCACCAGTTAAGAAGCTCTGACTTTTGAACATCATTTAGTGCATGAGTGTCTATGTGTTGAATGAAGTCTTAAAGACTGCAAGGGCCCCTACACAGAGATAATGGTTCTTACGCTTGTAGGGTCATTGTTATTGTAAGCATTTATGCCCCATCCTTCCTAATGCCTGTCAGCTGCTTCCTCCTCCTTCGTCTCAGTATTGCCCATGTAGAACAGCAGGGAGGAAGGTGGGGGCAAAACTAGAATTACTTGGCTCCAACTGTCATTATCTCGGTCTCCATCAACTATTTGGGCTACCTGCATTGCATCCCACTAGACTTGAGGGGAACCAGCCACCACTGAAAAGACCAGTTTCATAGGCAGGAACATGAAAGGAGGACTATTTGTTTATTTATGGGGGTGAATGCTTGCTAAAGGGGTTCTTGTAATGTGGTGGGTGTAGGCTCTAGCTATTAAGAATCAAATCTGCTCCCATATTGGGGCCAATGAATATGTGATGTTCTTAACCACACTACTTTTATCTGGGAGAAGCAGCTGTGGGGTTCCAATCTGGAACATGTTCCTGATCCAAAGCTGAGCCGCTCGCTGGTTTTCTCATTTAGTCACTCTAAAGCAGTGTTTCCCAAAGTGGACGATACCACTACCCCCCGGGATGTGTGTGCTGGAACGATCCAAGTGGTGGTAGTAGCCTCGGGTGCAATTGGGGGGCATTGAATAAAAATGAGCGGGCAGAGGAAGCATAAAGAAAGAAGAAAAGAGAATTTTGAACAACCGTTTCTACAGTTATATGCTGTGTACTGATGCTTACCGCCAGGTCAGGCACCATTGCTGGATGGCAACAACACCTCCCCCAGATTCAACAGTTGTGCTAGCGGTGAGGAGTTTTCCTGGGCTTGGGTGAACAATTTTTGGCTTCAGCCAGGCCCAGGAAATGGATTGCAACTTTACTATGTTGTAGGACGTAGAAATATTGAAACATTAAAAAACACAAATTTGTCACTGCATCTTTCTGTTTGTTCGCTTAGAGAAGTTGGATTTCCAGGGGCACTGAATTGTTGTTGTTGTTTTGGAAAGGGGGCAGTAGGCCAAATAAGTTTGGGAACCTCTGCTCTAAAGCATGGCAGAATATTGGGAACTCGTTCATATATGTACGTATGTATGCATAGACATACAGACACCAAGACATTTCAGTGCATGTTTGGCTTGTAGGATTTCCCCTGCCACTTCCCCATGCTCGCTCTCAGCGGTTCATGTCAGCTCTTTTGTCTTTTCAGATAAAGATGAAGTGGACTAGCTTGTCTTTTTGAGTCTGCCAGTATCGCCCTTCAGCTAGCATTACACAGGGCTTACTTCCCCCCCTCTTTCCATCCCCTCGCAGCTCCAGCTGAGCATTCTGCTTCATCCCTGTGACTTGAACAGGGACTTGAAATCTACTTGACAGTGGGTAGTGCATGTGGAGTAGCTGTAATTGTAATGTGAGGCATTAGAAGTGGCTGGAGATTCCAGAAGGTCGCTGTTGAGCTTGCCAATCAGGACTTTGAGTATTATACAGAGCACCAAGGGCTGCCTGCTGAAGCTAAGAGCAAGCCATTGTTTGTGTGCTCTGAGGAGGATGCAAAGTCGAACAACCTGAATTGACATATGGGTGCCACAAATAAATGCATGGGTGGAGGTGGTTTTGCACCTACTGCAGTGGAAAGTGGAAGGCGGTGATTTCCAAGTGTGCAAAGACAGAGATCCTAAGCATCAGGAATACCATTCTGACATAGGAAGGAATTTATTGATCCACTTATTGAGCAACTCCTTATAAACTTCCAACAAACCCCATGGTTTTCTGCAACACAATTTGAAAAGAACTGTGCTAGGGCAATAGATGGCAAGCAGCGAGCAACATTCCCTCACAGGTGTTGTGAGTTGTGCCTTATCCGTAAACCAATCTCCAGTATGAACTCCACACAACAGTAGTAAAATGCCATTGATCTGGTTCTTCTCAAGTCATTTCAGGTATTTCAGAATTAGAGCTTGAAAAGGTGGTTTTAATTTTCTCACAACATGTTCCTATGTTTCCTGGCAGCTCATACAAACCATTAGTGCTGTGGACAAGGATGAGCCACCACGTGGACACAAATTTTTTTTTGAGCTGGTGCCAGAATACACAGTCCATCCGAACTTCTCCATCGTGGACAACAAAGGTAGGCTCTAATTATTAGCTCTAGGTGCCCTGTTTTCATCCCTGCACGTAAAGATTCCTAATGTGAGTTTCCATTTCTCTTGGTCTTCTGGTTCAGATAACACAGCAGGCATCATAACAAGAAGGAATGGATACAGCCGGAATAAAATGAGCACCTATGTCCTGCCAGTGGTAATATTTGACAATGACTACCCCATCCAAAGCAGCACTGGCACACTGACTATCCGGGTGTGCACCTGTGACAGCCGAGGGAACATGCAGTCTTGCAATGCTGAAGCTTTGCTCCTTCCAGCGGGTCTTAGCACAGGAGCCCTCGTTGCCATTCTGCTCTGCATCGTGATTCTCCTGGGTAGGTGATTCAGTCCCTTTCTTTTGCTTTACATCTGAATAATGATTAAAATGTCCAGACAAGGGGAAGAGGATATTTGACCTAGGGGCCAACTTCTAGTCATTCCTTTTTCCAGACCTGAACAAATCAAGTTAAGAGGTGCTTTAATATGGGAATAGGTTGGCTCAGTTCTGTAAGGTAAAGGACCCCTGGACAGTGAAGTCCAGTCGAATTTGACTATGGGGTGCAGCACTCATTTATGCTTTCAGGCCAAGGGAGCTAGTGTTTGTCTGCAGACAGCTTTTCTAGGTCATGTGGCCAGCAGGACTAAACTGCTTCTGGTGTAACAGAACACCGTGATGAAAGCCAGAGCACATGGAAACATTGTTTTACCTTCCCACCGCAGCAGTACCTATCTATTTACTCACGCTGGCATGATTTTGAACTGCTAGGTTGACAGGAGCTGGGATAGAGAAATGGAAGCTCACCCCATCTAGAGGATTCGAACTGCTGACCTTATAATCGGCAAGCCCAAGAGGCTCGGTGGTTTAGACCGCAGCGCCAGCTGCGTCCCAATGCTCAGTTGTGTAGGTCAGCTGTAACCAGCTGATAGTTTAGAGATTTTTTGATACTAGTGAGGGAACATGCAAAACAACATGTTGTACTTGCTGAGACTCAAAATTACTGTTTTGGAAAAGTTACATAGCTTACACATCCGAAACATACATTGCACATGCTCATTCTTTAAATTGGCATTTTTGCAAAATGAAAATAGTTCATACATGGGTTCAACAGTACCTCTGTATAACCCACCAGGTGGTTGTGTGCCATCCTATGTCTCTGATCAACAGCCCCAAAGCTCATTGCAAAGAGATCAGGGGAATTCTGCCAGATGCCCATAGTTCAAATATCAACTGAGATATAAGGATAGTTATATTTAATAATATTGCATACTATCTAACATGCTGAGGTGGTAAAAGTCATGATGTATGAGCATTTCTGCCAACATTGGCATACCAATGAAGTGGGAATGGCCTATGTCAGGAATGATCTTTACTTTCTGAGGAACGGCCATGTCTCTGCTTTGCTTGTAGTGACTGTGGACAATGCTGCCTCTTGGCCATGTGTCAGCCTGAAGAACTGCATCCCATCATCCATTGTGATGTCACAAAGTTAGACCACAATTCTTTGCTTGTGTGCAACTTATCAACACTAAGATCAAAAGGAAGAAAGTTTCACCTAGTGGGGTCAAAAGTTGAAAATAAAGAAGTGCCAGAGGCATCTTAGTTTGATGTAGTTCTGTGCAGCATACAAATTAATCCAAGGTCCAATTCAGGTGGCCTTCTCCCAATTAGTGGTTAATTAACAAAGCTAGAAAAATGAAGATCCTTGCCGTGTCTGAGATCTGTAGTATCAGATTAAGAATTGACACATCAGTCTATTTCTGGTCCACATCACTTTCTCATGTCTTCACCCATAAGTCTACTTCATCCAGTTTCCGAATACATGCAGAATTCAAAAGAAAAACCATAATAAAATGTGCATATAATACATATTTAAATACATATTTTCAAACCTAATGGGCGGCACCCAATGAACTGGTTCCATTAGCACAAGGATGTATATTTGCACAATGGAACCTCCCCTCTTCTCTTCTCCCCATGCCCCCTTGTGCCCTCCTCAGATCTGCTCTGGAGGCTTAGGGAAACTCCAAAAGATATTTAGCAGGCACATGGGGAGAGAAGATGGAGGGGAAACATTTGTGTGGTGAGGCCCTGGGCCCCACAGTTCCCTCAGAAATAAGCACACAGACATGAATATGTTGGGTTAATGGGATAAATTAGCCCACAACTTTATTGGTTACAGATGTGAGCAGTTTGGCTTAGGCAATTGGATGAAACAAGACTATATCCTGACTCCTGCCAGTCTGCAGGTGTCCTGTAAGGGTCAGCCACTGATAGGGGGAGCCCTATGACATATATCAATTGAGCACCCCCAGGGTCACCGATGGGGTCGTGGCATGGCCCTAGCCCATGCCCAGGCTTGGGGCAGGAACCACACCCCCGGATCCCTTTAATGGGATACCCTTAACATGGAGGGTCAGGCCAGAGGCAACAACTGCCCCTCCCACGACAAGGCTTACCTAATGCCTAACCTTACAAAGTTGTGAGGATTGCTACTAGGTAGGCGAAAACCAAATGGCTGGTGCCAATTTGCCAAGTGGAAAAATTCATACCTGGCCCCAACAACCAGGCAACCGACATTAGTCGTAGCAAGGCCATAGTCAAGCAATGCAAGAAAAGAGGGTGGGTGGGCTGGGAGATCCGAGAGAGGAGACAAATGGAGGCTGCCCTCCCCAGCCACACTGTGGTTTAAATGCCACATGGCCATGCCCCCCGGCTAACCTGATTGGTCAGCCAGGGGACGTGACGCGGCGGCTGGGAGTCCTAGTGATGTGGGCAGCATCCCTCTGCCCACAGCCAGGTCACTGGGAGGTCTCGGGTTGCCGCCCGCAACGCAGCCCCCCCAAAGGGAGCCATTTTCTAAATACATTTTCTTTCAAAATTTGCATTTTTAGACATACATTATATTTATTTGGGGGTGAGTACTGCTTCAGAACATCCAGGAATGATCTCATCAGGGAAGCATGTCTGGTGCCACCACAACTTTCAGACACTAAGAAACTCTTGCTTACCCATGCTTCTCCTCCCCAGCCCTCTGCAGTTCTGGGGCTTTTCCCAACTTCCCAGAATCAATTTAGGGGCAGGCATGGTAGGAAAGGAGAGGAAGCAAAGCCTTGTTGTGTTAGTGGGACTTGGCACTAGCACAACTGTGGCACTAACTTAGTCATGTTCATCAATTTCAATGGATCTCCCCTTCAGTAAAAGTTCACTGACTACCACCCAATAATTATAACATTATAGTTTGTTTCGAAGGGCAGAAAGCAACCCACCACCAAAGGAATGTAAGTGAAGCTGAAGATGAACTAAAAGCACCCTGGCATGTTGCGTCGTTTCCTGCTGTTTAATGCAGCAATTAAATTTATGATGAGCTTTTACAAGTTCATAAAAAGTCCCAAATACAAATGTAGAAGAAGCCACTTCTCTAATAAGAGGGCACCTCCTCTAAGGATCATGCTTTTAACTGTTGAAGTATGAAACTTGATGTGTTGCCCATAACAACAACAAAGAAGAGTGCTAAAGGGGGATAACTGAATAGACTGAAGAGCCAGGGAGAGTATTCTTTGTAGTGAAGGCAAAAGGGAAGTGCCAAGGTTCTCGAAAACTTGTTTGTGAAAACAGCATAAGTAGAATAGACCATGCACATTTATTAGTCGACTTGCTTCAGCAACATCCTCACTACAATATAACCTTGGTTGAGTCATTTGGTACCGATGGGCACCAAATGTATGCAGAGGGTTCTGAGCATAGCTGCCAACTTACAGATTTGAAAATAAGGGACCAGCAGCCTCGAAAATAAGGGATCAGCAGCCAAAATAAGGGATCAACAATTACTTTGATAAAATACATATTTTGTTGCGTGCAAATGGCTTTAGATACTTATTAGGTCCATAAATTACCATATAGCATATATTCAACACAAAAAACAGCAACAATTTGTTGTTGACAAAGCACAGCTGGACATAGAAAGGGCCCCATTACCTTCAGTAGCTTATTTAAGGGACATCATCAATAAGGGACAGCAGCGGGACATGGCGCTAGGATAAGGGACTGTCCCGCCAAATAAGGGACGTTTGACAGCTATAGTTCTGAGAGCAGACCAGCTAGCTTTCCCTCCTAAATGCCAGCATAGGTGCCATCCTACTCCACCTGACGATGCTCATAGGTGCATAGGAAGCTGCCTTATATTGAGTCAGACCATTGGTCTATCTAGTTCAGTACTGTCTACACTGAGGACCAGAAATTTCTCGTCCATGTGGCTAATTAGCCCCTTGAGGCCTCCTCACTTGGCCCACAAGGCCATTTTGACCAAGCCATGCCTACCTGACCTACAATGGGGCTGCCTGCTCATTCCACTTGCCGCTGAAGACAAATGACCATAATGGTCACAAATCCAGGATTGGCACAGTCCATAAGAAATCCAGTTGCAGCAGGCTTATCTTAAACTTGACAATAACTTATAATAAGACTAAACCTTAACACTACAGCATACAGAACAAAACACCACACCAGAACAAAGAGATAGAAAGAGAAAGTGTGAAACCCAGGCTCCTCCTGACCTGACTATTATAGTCAGCATGAACTTGATGGAAAGGATAACAGAACCAGTTTAAACCAGCTGTACTCAGCTTCCCAGAAGGAATAACCCAAACATCAGAAACCTTCTGCCTTCTTCTTTCACATTGAAAGAAACCTTCCAGAACACTCTTGAACTAAGTAGAATAGGAAAGAAACATCAGACCAATACAGTCATACCTCGGGATAGCTTCGGAATAAGTATTTTCAGGTTGCACACTGCGGCTACCCGGAAGTATTGGAGTGCGTTACTTCTGGGTTTCACCGCTCGTGCATGCACAGACGGTCAAAATGGCGTCATGCACATGAGCGGAAGCGGCGAATCGCGACCTACGCACGCACGGACGCGGGTTGCGTTCACTTCTGGATGTGAACAGGGCTCCAGAATGGATCCTGTTCGCATCCAGAGGTACCACTGTACTTTCTGTACCAAGAAATGCAAGCTGACAGTACTCGCCATACCCTGTTCCATTTACACCTGACTAAACCCTTTACACATTACCCACCCCTTCACCTATCCCCGCACAGCTTGCCACAAACCCTTTAAAAGGAGGGGCAGGCACTCTGGCAAATGGTTTTCTGAATCATCTCCCTCCTCCATTAAGCCTCGCTGTATCAATGTTTAATAGAGGGAGAGAAGCACCTCACAGAGCACTCTGCCAAACCATTCTGTGAAGTGCCTTCCCCTTCCATTGAACCTTGATGCAGCTACATTTAACAAAGGGTGGGAGTAGCTTCATGGAGCAGTTTGCCAAAGTGTGCTCTACTTCCATGAAACCTCGCTGTGCACATGTGCAGCCAACTCTCCTCCATTAAACAGTTCCAACATGCTAGAGTTGGTGTGGCCACCAACTGGCAAACTACAGCATGATGACAGCCTTACATTTTTATGTATAGAGGGAAATAGAGGATGTTGAGTGTGATGCAGGTAAAAAAACAAACTGGCTCAGTTCAAATAGCAATTGGAATTTTCCAAAGACCTACAATCTGCTGATTGTCAGATCATCATAAGACCCTTTCAAAGCACTGCGCAAGATGGCACTTTGAAGGGGGATTCTGTAGAAGGCAAAAAGGTCAACTGTCTCCTCCCACCTCTCAAACTTAGCTTGGACTAACACATTTCTCCACCCCATTCTATACTGATGGGCAATGACTCTCCAGAATTGCAGAAAAAGTGTCCCCCAGCCCTCCCAACCCTGCTGGGGAGTCAAGCTGGAATCTTCTGCATGAAAAGCAGTTGCTCTGTTACTAAGCTGCAGCACAAACGATATTAGCCTGAAGAGGGCACTGTGCATATGTAGATGTGCACCTATATGGCTCCTTCAGGGGGAAGGGGGACTTTTTTCAGTGTTATTGTCCCACGGAGGGAGTCTGTGCACAAAAATTGACACCGATTGCACATCAATATCTGGTGAGACTGTCAGGACTCACTTCAGGACTTCAACAGATAAATCCTATGGTTGCATACTCATAAGTCTGATTGAATTCAGTGAGCTTTACTCTTGATAAGCATTTACAATCATACCTTGGAAGTCAAACAGAATCCGTCCAACTTCTGAAATGTTAGGAAACCAAGGCGCGGATTCCAGTTGGTTTCTGATTGCGCAGACGCGCCAGAAACAATAGTGGAAGCCAAGCCAGGTGATTGGCTTCCCCCCAAAAAAGCGTTCGAAAACCAAAACACTCACTTCTGGTTTTCGATTGTTTGGGAGCCAGAACGTTTGACTCCCAAGGCGTTCAGGAGCTGAGGTACAACTATATATGATTGAAGTCCTAGGTCCCATTAATTTTAATAGGAGAGTCAAGCGCACACCTATTGTGATCAATGAGGCTTTTGAACTGCTTTGTCTAGGTGATGCCCTTTTAATATGCTTTTCAGTATCCACCTGCTTATTTAGCCTGTTTTATTTATTTATTTATTTATTTATTTATTTAAAATTCTAGACCGCTTTTTATTTTTAATAAATATCTCAAAGCCGTTTGTCTGTTCCTTACTTGTCTTTGTTTGCTCCCAGTTTTAGTCGTGCTGTTTGCCGCAATGAAGAGGCAGAGGAAGAAAGAGCCCTTGATCATTTCCAAGGATGATGTCCGAGACAATATTGTGACCTATAATGATGAAGGAGGTGGCGAAGAAGATACTCAAGCCTTTGACATTGGCACACTAAGAAATCCCGAAGCCAGAGAAGAAAGCAAAATGAGGAGAGATGTGATGCCAGAAACTATCTTCCAGATAAGGAGAACTGTGCCACTGTGGGAGAACATTGATGTCCAAGATTTTATCCATCGAAGGCTAAAGGAAAATGATTTGGATCCAACAGCACCTCCTTACGATTCTTTAGCAACATATGCGTATGAAGGGAACGATTCTATAGCAAATTCGCTTAGCTCTTTGGAATCACTCACTACAGATGGTGGCAACCAAGATTACGATTATCTCAGTGACTGGGGACCTCGGTTTAAAAAGTTGGCAGATATGTATGGTGGAGATGAGAGTGACCAAGACTGACATCCCAATCCAGGAATTCCAAGTGCAGATGAAAGGTTCCATGTGGCGAGCCAGATCTGCCCCATCCTTCTCAGTGACAATGGCTCTGTGTGTCCAGTCCCAATAAATATCTGCAGAGCATTCCTCAAGGTTGTAGAGAATGGGAGAGGTCTTAAATAGAAGGAAGGGGCTTGTGTGCTTACACTGGAGACTGGGCAGCCTTGGATCATGGCCTAATAATAGCATTTTGTGACTTGGTCAGTGTTGATGGGATTAATGCCTCTGTATCTAGATAAAAGTGGCCTACATTCTCTTACTTGGAAAAATACAAAAATAGGTGTTTGTCTTAGTAAGGGTTTGCTTAACAAGTCTACGTGAATGAAACTGGTTAGATTTTATAATTGCTATTTTAAGACAAAACTATATTTCACCCTCTCTGCCTAAGATGTTGGAAAGAAGATACTCAGCACTTATGAAAAGATACCTAAAAAGGCTTTTTGTGCCTTTAATAAACAAGTTGGAAAGTATAACTTTTTTTTCTAAAGGAACACTTTGCTTCACTTTTCCTACGACTGTCTGGGACAATATGTACCCATCTTATAATCTGATTACACCTTAAAAATAAGAATGAATATTACTGCCATATTTATTGAGTAAAAGAATGTCTGTGTGTTGATTCATGATATTTTTATATATGTATATTTATATTTTTGTATTTTTATTAAATAAATTAGTATTGATAAATAGACGGCTGGTTTCATTTGCTCAGCATGTGGGACGCTTGAGTCAATGATAGGAAATTCATATTTTAGCCTTTCCCAACCCAACCTGGTGCTCTTCACACGTATTGGACTATGACTCCCACAGCCCTAGCTGGCATGACAAATGGTCGGGGATGTTGGGAGTTAATCAACCAATTCCAAAATATCCAAACCAAAATGGTCAAAGGCCTGGAAACGATGCCTTATGAGGAATGGCTAAGGGAGCTGGGCATGTTTAGCCTGGAGAAGAGGAGGTTGAGGGGTGATATGATAGCCATGTTCAAATATATAAAAGGATGTCACATAGAGGAGGGAGAAAGGTTGTTTTCTGCTGCTCCAGAGAAGCGGACACAGAGCAATGGATCCAAACTGCAAGAAGGAAGATTCCACCTAAACATTAGGAAGAACTTCCTGACAGTAAGAGCTGTTCGACAGTGGAATTTGCTGCCAAGGAGTGTGGTGGAGTCTCCTTCTTTGGAGGTCTTTAAGCAGAGGCTTGACAACCATATGTCAGGAGTGCTCTGATGGTGTTTCCTGCTTGGCAGGGGGTTGGACTCGATGGCCCTTGTGGTCTCTTCCAACTCTATGATTCTATGATTCTATGATTCTATGATTCTATGATTCTATGATTCAAAGGGCACCAAACTAGGCCAGTGGGTTGTAACCATTTGTGGGAGGCAGGTTGCTTTGATTTTCAGAGGTATGAATTAGATGTTAATAGTTCCTGTTCTCTGGACACCCCGAGAATGATTGGACTGTGTTGTGGAACTCTCCACTTTGAGGTTTGTTGCCTAGCAGAGACCAATAACAGGTAGCAAAGCAGAAAGGATTTATTCTTGCACAAGAATGCTGTTCCATCTACCTGGCTGTGCAGACAATTGAGCCTATCTGCAGGTTACATTTTTTTAAATACAGTGGTATCTCGGGTTACATACGCTTCAGGTTACATACGCTTCAGGTTACAGACTCCGCTAATCCAGAAATAGTGCTTCAGGTTAAGAACTTTGCTTCAGGATAAGAACAGAAATCGTGCTCCGGCGGCGCGGCAGCAGCAGGAGGCCCCATTAGCTAAAGTGGTGCTTCTGGTTAAGAACAGTTTCAGGTTAAGAACAGACCTCCGGAACAAATTAAGTACTTAACCCGAGGTACCACTGTAGTTTCCCCCAGTGCTTTATTTCTGGGGGGACTCATTACTGGCACTTTTTTTTCCTAGAAGAAAAGCACTGGTTTTCCCACAGGTGATACACACATCTTTGATTCCAACAGACCCCTGTGTGTCACCCAATCACGTGTCCCCAATCCGGCTTGCCCCACTTTTGTGCAATTTTTATAGCCAACCTTAACTATGCATTTTGGGAACTATATCTCCCTGTCGCCCACTAAGTCCTCCCTAACTTCCTTTGTTCTTCCGTCAGTTAGCACAATCTACTTAACACATAGCTCAACCACAAGCTCCATCCATTCATTACCTTGCATTTAAGAGAGTTTCCTGTTGTTGCCCAGAACAAGGTGTTCAGAGAAGCAACTGTAAGCTGTTTACAAGCAGGGGTTGAATTTCTCAGGAATAGGCCCTAGATTTAGCCTGGGGCATTTTCATCTCTAGCTTAACTATATTTCGACTTTAGCTCATTTATATCTCTCCTTCTCTCTTTGATATTAATATTTTATTTGGTTTCAAGATTCAACATTATATTTTGACACTCAGTAATTATAATTCTGTTCTGCAACACTAACGACTTCCCTCTCACCCATCTTCGATGTTTAGAAGTCATTTAGCTAATTTCTCTTGACCAGAGTGCCTCTATTTCCCAACACAGTTCCAACCCCCCTGTGAGGACAGAAGATCAGCTGACAATATTTTATCCTGCCTTTTCACTATGTAGTTCAGGACCATACATGATTCTCCCTCTTCATTCCCCACATACTTTTATTCTCACAACCAGAACCTCTTTACGATTGAAGGCCCCAGAAATTGGGAGTTGTATCCAATGTTGCTTCTACCCAGAGTAGACACACTGATATTAATGGACTTGACTGACTTAGGTCCATTAATTTCAGTGGATGTACTCTGAGTAGACTTTAGGGATACAACCCTTAACGTTCATTTGAGGCACATATTTTCCCCTCCTTTTCAGCTTGAGCAATGTTGATCATAGCCTCTTCCAAGTGTGATGTGTGAGACAATTGCCCATTTCCTGAAAGAAAGGTGTCATCCCTGTGAGGCAAATTGGGCTGTGAGAGTGTGATTAGTCCAAGGTCAAAAAGTGGGCTTCAGTGTTTGAAAGTCACATGCTCTGAGACACATTCAGTTACTCAGTGGGAGCAGTCTACATAATTGCTCTACTTAAGGAAGAGGAAAAAATCCTCTGGCTCCACCTTCAGAGTGCTCTACTTAAGGAAGAGGAAAAAATCCTCTGGCTCCACCTTCAGAGTGGGTGGAACACTTTATGTTATCTCATATAAACAGCACACAGGCAGAATCAGAAGGCAGCAATGGCCCTGCAGTAATCTTGCCATAAACATCTGGGGCACCGGTTGTCACGAGTGAAAATATTGGCCTAATAAAATACAGAAAACCCAACAGGAGCTTGGGAAAACATTACTGGTGGGCCCAAAAGAGGGGGGGCGGAGCTCAAAGTGCTAGAAATTAGATTTATTTCAGGCCTGGCATATTTGGAAACAAGTCTTTCTTGGGGGAACATTTCCAGCAGCCATTCTCATAAAAACATCTACCGTATTTTTCGTTCTATAGGACGCACATTTCCCCCTCCAAAAATTAAGGGGAAATGTGTGTGCGTCCTATAGAGCGAATGCAGGCTGCGCCGCTAAGCCCAAAGCCAGAACAGGAAGACGGAGCACTGCGGAGCGCTCCGTCTCGCTGCTCTAGCTTGGGGACGGCTGCGCGCAAACCTCTGCAGGGCAGCAGGGTGCCTTCACCCCGCTGTCCTGCAGAAGCTAGCAAGGCTGTTCCCAAGCCAGAACAGCGAGACGGAGGGCTCCGTCTCGCTGCTCTAGCTTGGGGACGGCTGCGCGCAAACCTCTGCAGGGCAGCGGGGTGCCTTCACCCCGCTGTCCTGCAGAAGCTAGCAAGGCTGTTCCCAAGCTCCGTCTCGCTGCTCTAGCTTGGGGACGGCTGCGCGCAAACCTCTGCAGGGCAGCGGGGCGCTGCGCTCCAAAGGCTTCAGGGATCTTTGAGGCTGGCGGTGGGGGAAAGCAGCGCTTCCCCCCACCGCCAGCCCCACAAGCTCTGGTGAATGTACCTTGAACGCACCTTGTTTTAGAGGGGGAGAACAAGAAAAAAAAAATTTCCCCTGTTCGCCCCCTCCTATGATCCGGTGCGTCCTATGGTCCGGTGCGTCCAATGGAGCGAAAAATATGGTAATTTCCAGCACTTGGGAGTTTTTCCGTTTCCCCTCTAATAAATTCTAGACCAGCCTTCCTCAGCTTAAACATGTGAGGAAGAAGAAGAAGAAGAAGAAGAAGAAGAAGAAGAAGAAGAACCTGAACCTGAACCTGTGTAGGGAGTCAGTGGTGTTGCAAGGTGGGGGCAGGGGGGCGGTGCGCCTCAGGTTCCATGTCGTGCCACCACAGCCGCATGTGGAGGTTCCTCCATGGCTGCAGCCATGAGCAGAGGATCCCGCCACCATCCGTACAGCGTTCGAGCGGCGCTGGTGGCAAACTGCTACGTACAACACATGCGCAGTGTCGCACGCATGCGCTGTACGTAGCAACCCTGCACATGCGTTTTACATTGCGGTATGCCGCCGGTGCTGCCCAAGTGCCATACGGACAGCGGTGGGATACCTCCGTTGCCACTACAGCCGCAAGCGGAGGATCTCACTGCAGCCACTTCAGCCGTGAGCAGAGGATCTCGCCACCGTCCATACGGCTCTTGGGTGTTGCCAGCAGCAAACTGGTACGTACAATGCAGGAACCGCTTACGGTGACCCGGGGGCCCCCTCTCAGCCTCCCTCCCTCCCTGGCTCGCTGTAAGCGGCTCCCGCTTTGCTGCTTTACAGCGAGCCGGGGAGGGGGGGGAGAAGGGTGGGTGGGAGCCATGGCTCCAGAGAGGATGAGCTGCGCAGCTTTGCCAGGGCCCCAGCAAAGTGGCATAGCTTCCCCCAATGGCTCGGGGTACTTGGGAGTCGTGGGGGTGGGGGCACAGAGGCATAGGAAGGGGGGCAGACATTCGGCACCCACCTGTGACACCCAAGCCTACCCCAAGCTGTCGATGTGTGGGGAGCGGGTGACAAAAAAAAT